CGTCGCAATGCATACGCGCGCACTAGGAAACTTGGAGACAAGCTGGGGGAGGAACCGCGCGGAGGCGCGCAACGCAAAGCCTGCAAGGCATCCGCGCGCGCCCGCAGTTGCTTCATGCCGTTTGGTTTGCTGTGCGGCGCCGCCGTGCTGTTGGGCTGTTTTGGATCGGCAGGCTCTGCGTGGTTTTGTTTGAGGCCGTCTGCTTTCTGCTTGCGGGATTTTTCTTTCCGTGTCAGGTTTTGGACCGCGCCTGTGCATTTAAGCAAAGCATCCCGCACTCCAAGACCAAGCATGCTGGCCTTGAAGGCAGGGCATCCTGCGTTGAACCGCAGGGCATCCTGCACTTAGGCAGGGCATCTTGCACTTCAAGACCAAGAGTTCTGTTCTTGAAGGCAAGGCATCCTGCGCTGTGGCGCCGCAGGGCATCCTGCATCTCTAGGCGCGGCGTCGCAATGCATACGCGCGCACTAGGAAACTTGGAGACAAGCCAGGGGAGGAACCGCGCGGAGGCGCGCAACGCAAGGCCTGCAAGGCATCCGCGCGCGCCCGCAGTTGCTTCATGCCGTTTGGTTTGCTGTGCGGCGCCGCCGTGCTGTTGGGCTGTTTTGGATCGGCAGGCTCTGCGTGGTTTTGTTTGAGGGTGTCTGCTTTCTGCTTGCGGGATTTTTCTTTCCGTGTCAGGTTTTGGACCGCGCCTGTGCATTTAAGCAGGGCATCCCGCACTCCAAGACCAAGCATGCTGGCCTTGAAGGCAGGGCATCCTGCGTTGGACTGCAGGGCATCCTGCACTTAGGCAGGGCATCTTGCACTTCAAGACCAAGAGTTCTGTTCTTGAAGGCAAGGCATCCTGCGCTGTGGCGCCGCAGGGCATCCTGCATCTCTAAGCGCGGCGTCGCAATGCATACGCGCGCACTAGGAAACTTGGAGACAAGCTAGGGAGGAACCGCGCGGAGGCGTGCAATGCAAGGCCTGCAAGGCATCCGCGCGCGCCCGCAGTTGCTTCATGCCGTTTGGTTTGCTGTGCGGCGCCGCCGTGCTGTTGGGCTGTTTTGGATCGGCAGGCTCTGCGTGGTTTTGTTTGAGGCCGTCTGCTTTCTGCTTGCGGGATTTTTCTTTCCGTGTCAGGTTTTGGACCGCGCCTGTGCATTTAAGCAAAGCATCCCGCACTCCAAGACCAAGCATGCTGGCCTTGAAGGCAGGGCATCCTGCGTTGGACTGCAGGGCATCCTGCACTTAGGCAGGGCATCTTGCACTTCAAGACCAAGAGTTCTGTTCTTGAAGGCAAGGCATCCTGCGCTGTGGCGCCGCAGGGCATCCTGCAGCTCTAAGCGCGGCGTCGCAATGCATACGCGCGCACTAGGAAACTTGGAGACAAGCTAGGGGAGGAACCGCGCGGAGGCGTGCAATGCAAAGCCTGCAAGGCATCCGCGCGCGCCCGCAGTTGCTTCATGCCGTTTGGTTTGCTGTGCGGCGCCGCCGTGCTGTTGGGCTGTTTTGGATCGGCAGGCTCTGCGTGGTTTTGTTTGAGGCCGTCTGCTTCTGTTTGCGTTGTTTTTTTCTTTCCGTGTCAGGTTTTGGACCGCGCTTGTGCATTTAAGCAAGGCATCCCGCACTCCAAGACCAAGCATGCTGGCCTTGAAGGCAGGGCATCCTGCGTTGGACCGCAGGGCATCCTGCACTTAGGCAGGGCATCTTGCACTTCAAGACCAAGAATCCTGTTCTTGAAGGCAAGGCATCCTGCGCTGTGGCGCCGCAGGGCATCCTGCAGCTCCAAGCGCGGCGTTGCAACTCATACGCATGCGCTAGGAAACTGGGAGACAAGCTGGGGGACGAACCGCGCGGAGGCGCGCAACGCAAAGCCTGCAAGGCATCCGCGCGCGCCCGCAGTTGCCAGAGAAACGGGGACACGGAGCTGACTTAGCGAAGTAAGGTCTCCGAGTCAGAACCCGACGGCCCGAGTCGGCCGCGGAAGCCACGTGTCAGACGGAAAGCGCCGTGTCAGACAACGACGGCCCGAGTCGGCTGCTTGCAAATCTGACTTTTTCGTCACCGGCCATGTCATTCAAGCTGCAGCTACCCGGTGTGAGACGGCCAAGGCTCACCCAGCAAACCACGCAGCATCAGCAGCATGTCGTCGGAGAACGCGTGCCAAGCCTTGAACAAGGAGCCCATGCTGCGAGACCGCCCATACACTGGCTCATACTCTTGCACGTGGTTCATGCAGGACACAAGCAGCGGCTCCAAGGTCTCTGCGTGCGTTCGCCAGGATGCCCCCCAGGTCAGCTGCAGTTGTGTGCGAAAGGACACGGGATTATTGCCTTCACAGGGAGGCTGGAGGTCAGGCCAGGAGCATGTCACTTTCCAGTGCTCACAGCGGCGGAGGCTGTAGATCACTGTCATGAGAATGGTGACGGTGTCCAGGTTGGTAGAGGACTGCTCCCCTCCAACGTGGCGGCAGAGGCTGTACTGGATGCGCAAGCACTGCTCCAGATGCCACAAGGGAGTGAAGTTGCCGTATGTGACCTCCTCATGCCGGCCACGGTGAGCAGCCAGCGCAGCCTGCATCCCACCCACCAAAGCCATGACGTGCTGCGTGTCAAGTTGGACGGACATGTGCGGCAGCCAAGACTGACAAGTGGCTGAAACACTTCTCGGGCCAAGAGCGCTGCAAGGCAAGCAAGGCAACTCACAACACAAATCAGTTGCAGGTCACGGTCAGCATGAAGCAATGACTCCGGATCGCCCTGCTTTGTGCGACGCCAGCAACCCCTAGACTGTCACAGCCCTTTTCGGGCGCATCCCCCAGAAGACCTTGGACCAACTGCGTGGCCAAGCGCGCTGCCAACTTGCTGGCAAGCGCCCCCATTGTTGCACACTCATCGATCGAGTGTACGGACACTTGGGCTTTTTCCGCCCGCACTTCAAAATTGGACCCTGAAGACTCAGCACGGGCTGCAATGCCCTGGCACAAAAAAAGCATCGACCCCACCTTGCGGGCTGCTGCTGGCGAGCCAGCGACCGCTGCAGCTTCTTTTGCTGCTTTTCACGCAGCGCCAAGCTGGCCGGGCATCCTGCGTTGGACCGCAGGGCATCCTGCACTTAGGCAGGGCATCTTGCACTTCAAGACCAAGAATCCTGTTCTTGAAGGCAAGGCATCCTGCGCTGTGGCGCCGCAGGGCATCCTGCAGCTCTAAGCGCGGCGTTGCAATTCATACGCATGCGCTAGGAAACTGGGAGACAAGCTGGGGGACGAACCGCGCGGAGGCGCGCAACGCAAAGCCTGCAAGGCATCCGCGCGCGCCCGCAGTTGCCAGAGAAACGGGGACACGGAGAAGTAAGGTCTCCGAGTCAGAACCCGACGGCCCGAGTCGGCCGCGGAGGCCACGTGTCAGACGGAAAGCGCCGTGTCAGACAACGACGGCCCGAGTCGGCCGCGTATGGGACGGCGGGCACGCCAGAAGAAGCGCGGACGCGGAGCTAACTTAGCAAAGTAAGGTCTCCGAGTCAGAACCTGACGGTCCGAGTCGGCCGTGGAGGCCACGTGTCGGACGGGAAGCGCTGTGTCAGACAACGACGGCCCATTGGGGGCAGTTCCTGAACGCGCTTCCGCAACCACGCGCGAGTGTTGTCTGACTCGCGCGTAGGCGTTGTCCGACTCGCGCGTTGGCGTTGTCTGACTCGTGTTGTCTGACTCGCGGGCCTGTTGTCTGACACGGTCTTCGCTCGTTCGGGATGATGGTGGGATGGTTTTGAGGCGCTGGTGACGGGCATGGCGTTTTGCGAGATTGACGGCTGGTGCAGGTGCTGTTTTTGGGGGCCTGGTGACGGCCAAGTTTGCTTTTGCGAGATTGACGGCAAGGTGCTAGGGGGCATACAATTTGGGGATTCTTGTGCAGGTGCTACAATATTTTAGGATGCTGTTTGGGGTGTTGGTTGAGGTGTTCTTCAGGTGCTGCCGTGCAATCGTTGGCACGTGTTTCGCTATCTGGGGTCTATGCTGGTGTATGTTTTTTCTTTTTTTTGTTTGGGGGGGGGGGGAGGGAGCAGTTTCAGTTGCTGAACCACCATTTAGAAGGCACTTTGGATGTGTGTGTTTTTTAAGATGCCCCCCCCCCAATTTTATAGATATCTATGCAGTTAGCTTCAATACGATGAACCTTCATGGAAATGATGTCCACCAAAGGGTCCACAATCAAATCTCATGATGCTCCAAGTTTTTGGGAATAGAAACTGTCGGCGAGAAAATGGCCGGTTCTGCTTTTGTTTTTTTGCCCTTTGTGCGAGCAATCCTGATTCCTGCTGGGGTAACTCCTAAATGGGCGCGTGCAACAATCGACATTGGACCCCAAACTTTGTTTCAGGCCAATGCTTTCTTCAATTGTTTGGGGCCGGAGTTGTCTTGGGCTAATGTTTGTCACATGTTCTGTTTTTTTCGGGCGGATTTCCAGAATTTGTTTCAGAACACTAGGAAACAGTAGTACCAATCCTAGCTAGGTTGGTCGACATTGCTACGCCTGCCAGATTCAATTTCCGGATGGTCAAGTTATGCACCATCATTACCTGCTTCGCTGCTCCTTTGACCGGCTCCCTCCATCTCGTTTGTGGCGGTTTCGATGGAACCAATTGCAACTTTTAGTCTAGGAAATGCTGCGTTCCCCTTCAACCATTGGAACGTTTTCTGCGGGACTAGAGTGACTTACAAAACATAAACCTGCTCCCCCGCCCTGGTAGTTTGTTTTGCAGAGGCCTTCGTATCTTTTCGAGGGGATGATTGTTTCTGAATTGGCCCTCAATTTTGCCCAGAGGTGGGGAGAAAGCAATCCTTCACGGCTTAGAAAGGTTTTTGCTTTAGGCTGAGCACGCCTCGTTGAGCAACCGGGGTCAGCCGGTCTTGAAAAAGCAGGTGCCCCGTTGTTCTCCCCCCCTCGCGTCCCCCTCCCCCAATGCGGCCGTTTTCGCGGGCAGAGCTCGCTCGCCCCTCGTTTTCGCGATTTCGCGAGGCCAGTCTCTCTCGCTTCGGCGGGCTGATCATGGGCCGCCACGGGAACTTCAAGGTGTGCTGGTGCGGCAGCCCCTCCCCGAGATTGCGGCGGTCAAAACCGTTTTTGGGGTAGCTGAATTCACCACCCAGTTTAGGCTTTACTTCAGTGGGGATTGAATTTTTTTGACCCGGGCGAACTCCTCCGGACACTTTTCTTTGCGCGCGCCTCTGGAAGGGCCAGTGCGGCGCCCGTGGTCCAACCAGGATGATGCGTGGAATCTCAGGGCTCAACTACGCACCCCTATGCCCAATATGTAGCCCAAGTATGGTCCGCAAATCAAGAGAATGGATAAAGGTGGAAAGCAGTGCCCCTGATATATGCAACGACTATAAACGGAGGTCCTAACCATCCATTTGATCAGCCCAGTTTGCGAATCGAACTCGGCTCGAGGCTACGACGCCTTCACCAATCCCACCGGGTGCTCTACCATGGAACAGTACACCGTCTACGCGGGCAACGTCACCAGTGGCGGCCCAATCCAAGGTGCACGCAGCGTTTCGTTGTGCAGAGTCTTGGGAATGTTTTATTGATTGGGGGCCTCAATGGTTGTATATATCAATGTCACCTCCTGAGTAGACAGATGCCCCCCCCTTTTCCTTGGCCCTTCTCTTCGCATTGGGGGGGCTGTCCCCAATATCCCCGGTGGTTCAACCCCTCTTTTCAATTTGTGTGCCACTGCCATGGAAGCCTGCTGCAACTTGCACAACTTGTGGCTAGCGGTTCTCTTTTTGAGTGCACGGATTTTGTAGGGCGCAAAGTTTTACTCGGGATCCCTGGGATTTGTTTGACGGGTTCTGGGAATCGAGGGGTAGAGTTTCCCCGCCAAGAGGAAGTCCTCTGGCTTTCAACAGCCTGTCCCTTTGAGACCCTCTTGAGGTCTTCGCAGAAATCATGACGAGCTCTCACTTGTAATTTATGTCCTCTTGCTTGGAAAATTGCTCATTTCGGCTAAGACAATCTGCCACATGGAAATCTATTAAGCATGTGTCATTTGCCATGCCCTTTTTCAGTCGCTTTTGGGCTAGTCCCTTTGCCGGACCTTCAACACGAGGTGGGGGCAAGTGTTCCTGCATGCCCCCCCCCAAAAAAATGTGGTTGTCATTGTGGTTTTTCTCTTTTTTCCGGTCAATTTTGAACCTGCATCCCCCCAACAAAATGTGGTTGTCATTGTTGGGACCTTTATGTTGTTTGTTTCTCTCTCTTCCGGTCGTCTGGTTTTTTTTTGAAGCTGCCAGGCCAGGTGGATCGACCTCCCGTGGGTGTGTGGCGGCCTCAGTGACTCAGACCTCTCAACAGCCCACCGTGTCCCAGAAGAACCGTGGCCCTTTGCCCCTCCCTTCCCAATGGTTTGTTGTCGTTGTCGTTGTTGGTGTTGAATGTGCTTGTCGAATAGTTCCTGACAGTCCATTTCTCCCCCCGCCCCCCCAGTGGTTGCAGCTTTCCCTTGAAAAGTCTACCGCCAAGAAGAGGCTGGCCCAGGCGATTCCATGGAGGCCGGCCAGTTGGAACACTGGTGCCCGGTTGCCTTCTGAGCAAGAGGGTGCCCATCTTAAAGGAGGTCTGTCACTCCAGGAAACATGGGGAGAACCATGCTTTGCTGCGGAGCTATCCATGTGGTTGTTAGCTGAAAGGGCTTACAGGGGGATAATCTGGCGCACGCATATCTACGGGAGAGGTCCCAGCCCACATCCATCAAGATCAATGCCCATGTTCTATCGAGCCATTTGCCGTCGGCTGGCCAAGACTCAAGGCGTCCAGGACGCCCACAGCTTTTTGATCAAGGACCCACCTCCAAAGATCCCTGCCCTAGTTGTTCAGACCTCATGTGGCCTTAGTTGGCCTTAAGGTGTATCCAGGCGCGACGTTTTTTTTGGTTTTGTTTTTTTGGGTTTGGGGAATCAACCCTTAGGACCAGTTAGGGGTTGGCGCCATTGGGACCTGAAGAATCATCGCAAGAGCCAAGTGAGGAGTCGCAAGAGGTAAACGAGCTGTAAATGAATGAGCCTAAGGCACATGTTCTTTGTGTTTGTGCCATAGTTTTGCGACTTTAGGTCTGGTCTAGGTGTTGTTTTGTTTTGTTGCTAAGAGGGCGGCTATTCTGCCTCGGGTTGAACAGTGCCCAGAAGGCGTCGACCCCTCGAACTCTGTGGGCTGAGTCAGCAAAGGCAAAACCCATCCCTCTGCCACCTTCCTATGGAAAGCGGGGGGGGAGCGATTCCACCGAAAAATGGGGCAAAATGAGTGAAAGCCACGATGTACGTCCTTTACTGGGATTCGTTGTTGGAATTGTTGTAACCATTGCAGATTTATTTGGATTTGGGGATCAACCCCATGAGACAAAACCCATGAATCAGCAGCTTGCAAGCAGCAGGAACCACAAACGTCCGATTTTTCCGAGATTCCTCCGTGAAAGACGCCCTTTTCGGGCTGAATTCAAGTTTGCAGCAAAGTATACTTTTTCTGGGTTTTAGAGGCCTTGCCTGAATCAGGTTCAATAGGCAGAACATCTTGACTGCCACTTGGTTGGACAGGAAAAACATGTCACTGGTTGAGGAGATGCATGGTTTTCTCGCTAGCCAGCCAATAGTGAAAGTTCGTTGCCACAAAGTACGTGCGGGGTTTCACGGGCCTGGATTGAGCCGTCATGTGCCACGCGCTGCTTAGGCCCTTCATCTATACCATCACCGGCTGGGGCATGAGTGATGTTGACAGGCCCGTCCATGGCCTATCGGGGGGTTGCCGCACCAGGAAAACCAACTGTTCTCACGTCCCAAGTTCTGGACGTCAAACTTTCTGGGGCGATTTTATTGGCAAGCAAGAATATTGTATTGTGTTGCCAATCAATCAAGAATTCAGACCAGTCCAGTGGTGGTGTGCGCATTCTTCAAGCAAGCTGAGGTCATGGTTGCAGAAGATTGAAGGTGTTTGGGCCATCTCAGAAACATCCAAAGCAGGGCCTTCGCAGCTGGAAAAACCAGTTGGGAGCTCTATGTGTTTTCCATGGCAGTTCATATTTTTAAGGCAGGTCTGCGGGAATTCGGGGCTGAATTGCACTTCAATGATAACAGGAACGATTTCCACCCCTTGTGTGGAATTGGTCAACGAGGCCTTTCAGAGGTATCACCGAATCGGCTGCAATCCCACAGCTCTCGTTCTGAACGAAAAGAAGCAAAACATCCGAATCCCAAACCAAGTTGGCGATTGCACTTTTGCAGGTTGATGGAACCCAGAAAGGTGGGCCCAAGAGATCCCTCAAACCAAGATGTTATTTCGGTACTCGGCAAGGTGATTTCAAAGGCGAGCACCTGTTTGGTGACAACTCCTTTGCGAGAACACACTGATCTTCAAGTCTTTTCAGTCCTGCAGGAATGCCTGGAACCCAATTTATAGCATAACAAGGCTTTACAACCAATTTGGTATTTTGGCACGCTTGATTCCAACACCTGGTCGCAAATGGGGTTCTCCACATGGTCACCCGCACAAGGCGCGTCTTTTTCTACCGGGGTCACGAGGGAGCAGCAGCTGGATCTGGAGGAGATGGCTTGTGCAGGATTCGCATCGTCGACAAGGACGTGATTTGCGGGCAAGCGGGTGCATCGGTCCAGCTGGTGCCTCAAGTCACGGGGTTCGGCTGGCCCATTCCATATGGGCGGAGTTGTCAACCGCTTCCCCCCCCACCAAGCAAATCTGGGATTCTTTGTGGCTGTTCTTTCAACTGGACCTTTGTTAATACTTTCCTTTTTTGGGGTGCACTATGGAGCAGAAACTGGACATGTTATGGCTGTGGTTGTCAGGAATCTTGTCGTGGTTGAACTTTGAACCTTTATACAAGTAGCCACCAAGAAACGGTGATGGTTAACCACACCCAAAAAAGTAAGTATCAGGACCCCTGGTCGCGATTGTCCAACAATTAGGGTTGGACCAGCCCCCGGAAGACTATTTTCCTGATTAAACGGCAATATTTGACAACCACTTGCTGTCAAATTGACCGTCTACTGAGGATATTATCTGATTGCACCTCCCCCCAAGAGGGAATTTCATGGACACCAGATTGTGCCCCCTCCAGTCAAAGTGAAAGCAAGAGGCCAGGTGATTCCTACGACTTAAACCGAAACATCAGGTTGCCCCAACGGCACCGAAACAAAGAGCGCGTGTTTCTTGCGAGTGGATGTGCAACCATGTGCAACCCGTGGAATACACACGTGGCAGACGCCTGACCTGACCGACATTCTTCCAACCAAATGTCTTTTTCAAACATTCATTTTTCCTATTACCCTGTGTCCCACTGACATGGAACCAGGGCAGAACATAGTCCAGGACCCCTCAGTCAGATTCCATGGACAGGGCTGGCAAGTGGTCGCTTTCTGTCGCTGGCCCTCTGCTAAGTTCGCTGGGCCTGGAAGCCAGCACCGTGCCCAACGGACCCGCCGAGTTGGTTTGGTCGGCTGGGACGTGGGCTCCCTCCATTTGCGGCGATCGTTTCAAGGGAAACCATCAGCAAGTTGCAACTTTGGATTTGGGAAATCTGGTGACCTCTGCTTGCACCCTTTGGTCCGCATCTCACTTTTCACTGGGGGCTCCCGGGCAAAAGGAACATGTTGGCATCTCAGAGTTACTCTTGTGGCTTCCCTAACGTAAGGGGGTATGTTTTTGAGGATGTCACTTTAACGCTTTTTTTGGCGACGATTCCCTGATTGCCTGGGAACCAGCAAGAAGAGGCGGAGCTTGCTTGATCCAGAGGAGTGCTACTGTCGGAGTCAAGGTTTCTCAGGATGTTGGTTTGCACGGCGAGTTGCGAAAGGACAGAGCCGTTCCTCGAAGCAGTTTCTCATAGAACGAAAGCAACGGGGGGAACTGGTTCCTTTCGTCTCGAAAGCAACGGGGGGAACTGGTTCCTTTCGTCTCGCTTTACCAGTCGGCCCAAACAAAACACGACCCCAAAGAAAGACATGTCAATAGGGTCCCTTACCTGAGGTGCCAAATCACAACCTCGTGATGAGCAAAGCCAATGGGGGAATGAGCTGCAGAACGGTTGCGCGTTAATTTGCTCGAAGCGAATCCGCCTTTTGACCTCTTTCCGTTCCTTTGTGAATCTCCAGTCACCAGCAAGGCTCCCGTTTTCTTACTCCACAGGGCAACTGGGCAGAGGCAGTTACGTTACACAGGTGGAATATCAGCTAGACCGTTGGGTGAGACAAAGTTCAACAAAAACATTGTCAGACTCCTGAAACACATTGCCAGACCGAAGGCCTTCTTGATGTTAAGTGTTGACCTTCTTGAGTTTCGGGGGGTTCCCTTTCAACCGACCAGACCCTGTGTAAGGGGGTCCACTCGTTTGGCCCACAGACAGAAGCGGTTTTCCAGAACGCCGAACCCAAGGAGACAAACAACAGGGTCGTGCGACCCCACAAATAGAACCTGGAGAAAAAGGATGTAATATCCTCCTCTAAACTGGGACCAATATTCACTCTGCACCCCTTTAAACATGTGAAGCATCATACCGGGGTCCAGGAAATGACTCCCATGTTGACAGAGTCATTCGCGCGGCGCCATCGTCTCCGCTTATCCAGCGTTTCCTAATATGTTAGCGTTAATTCCCCACCAAAAGGACACTCACTTTAACTTGGCAACCAAACCTTGGTGGCTCCCAGCCATCCCCTTAGCTTTTTAGTCTTTTAGTGTTTAGTGGTAGTTTCCATTTCACCCGCCTATTTACCACACTGAGATGTTGAAGGCCGCAAGAAAGAGCTCGAGCCCCGGCCAGGACAGCCCTCGCGTGTGGAAGGGGACGCGTCTATGAATCGAACCAGCGTGAGCTGGACCAACATCGTGGCAGGAGCCCCAGCGCCGCCAGCCGTATGTCCTCGTTACAGGAGACTCAGCAGCTCCGTAGACGGCGGGTTTCCTTTTGGTTTCCTGTGAAAACCAACATGAAAGGATGTCAATGCCCGCTCAAAAACAACAACTTGACACTTCTTTCTTCTTTTGTGGTGGATTTGGACATCACCTTCTGGGCCAGTTTTAATATGCCCCTAGATCGGGATTTCGTGATTCTGATTGGTGAAATATGGCAGCATTTTTTCCAGAGTTTTCAGTATTGTTATTGCAAGAAGCTGCCTGCTTTCTTCTCCCCGTCCAAAGTTTTCCAACATACACTTTGCGCGTCAGACTTGGCACTGCTCAAAAGGCACTCGACAGGTGGAAAGATGTTTGGGATTGGGCAACTCTGAGAACCAATGGTCCAAGTGGCATCCCAAAAGCTACCCCATGCGGAGGCCAAATTTGCGAGTCCAGGGACCCTTTGTGCTCTGTCTGGAAATTTTTCGGCCCTGTAAGTCTGGTTTGGAAACTTAATTTCTAGGCTGCACGCAGGCGCTTCTCTACTTCAATTGGCACACATCGAACTTCTTTTGGAAGCTTGTCACTACCGGGCCAAAAGTATTTTCTGGGCAGACTAAGATGGAACAGAGTCAGAAGGCCTTAGTCGCTGTGTCCCCCAGCTGGACCAAGTCTAGTCGAGGCCCAAAGAGTTGGAACTTTGTCCAACTCAGTTCAGTCTATCTTTGCGACGCCCTTTAGCTGGTCCCCCTAGATTATCTTAAGGACGGTTGCTCAGTCCAAAGCGAATCGACCGTTTCTGTCTGAGGCCTCGTGGTTGGTTCCCTCCAATATCTGAACCCAATTCGACATATAAGCAGAATCCTATGTTATAGCGAGCTCACCGATTCGGGGGTATAACGAGCTCACCGTGATAAAGGTCCTTTACTTGGGGACCCCTTAAAACAGCTCTCAGAATCACAGAACAAATTGCAGAAAAGCTGAATCTTGTCAGGGTACCCCAGATTTGGGACGAGTTTTCGTCAAACGTCGGAATAGGTTAAGCTTCGATTTCCAGGTCCTTCGGGCACCCCTACGTGCATGAAGGGGTGCTGTGCTTCTTGTTTTTGGGCTGCCTTTCACTGGGCACCACGCAATAGGCATTGAACTGCCTGCAGGTTTCAACCAGAAGCCACAATATTCACCAAGAGTACGCATCTTCGGGCAATCCGCGTGGAACCCGCAACTAGTCCTTAAGACCCAAATCACACTTCCCAAACTTCTGAGGAATCGCCGGTTTTGCTTCGGTCGCCTTCTGGGCATGTTTACTGGCAAAAACCGCTGAGGCACGGGAGATGCGAGCCTTGTCTGCACAGCTTATCTGACCTCTCTCAGTTTGGTGGACTGCGCCGTTTTTCCGGGGTCTCCTTCAAAATGATTTCAGAGTTCAGGGTAGAGTCTACTCTGAACAATAAAATCATAGACAAAAAATGAAACATAATCACAAGATAGACTTGTCTGTGTGCCCTAGATGTGGGCCAAGAAGTTGGTCACCCTGTAGACTAGCATCGACCCCCGGCAATGCCCATGTTTCGGGGAATTCTCGCTAAGTCCAGAAGGGCAAGCCGGTTCCGCCCTCAGTCCTTTTTTCTTGGCCACAAATCGTGAGTTGACCAACTAACAAGAGGTCAATTTGTTTGTCCTCCCGGGGCACTGGCTGCAACCAGTGTTGCGCCCATGGAAAGTCAACAAGTTTCTTCAGGCTGATTCGCTTCACGGCCTGCGTGGAACTCAGGTGATTCAAAATGGGTGTGTCTTCTTTTGAGGGTACCTTGCCAAGAGGAAAACCGACGCAAATTTCGGGGGGTACCCAGAACAAGACACCCAAATGTCGATCCCTTACGATCAAAGCCGTGCAGTTCCTCCGTGTTAGTATCGGCTGACCTCCTGGTGGCTTTGCGGGAGTGAGCAGCCTGACAGGGGAAGTACATCCTTAGAAGGTACCTAAATCCTGTGGGGCTTCTCCAGTTCGAACTCATTGAAGGAACCCAAAGCCTCCCAAAAAGCAGAGTTGTTCCTCTATGGTGGGTGTTCCATGATCTGGGTGAATGCGCGGCTTCGCTCATGTCTGGGCGGCGGCTTGATTGGTTTTCCCATGGGAGCAGCCTGTGGGTTTGGGGGGTTAAAGCCTTGCATCTTGCGGAGGGATTCCTTTGGTGTCCAACCCAATTTCAACGTGGAGTCTTTGGAGCCTGTATTTCTCTTTGATTGGCGACTCATCTGTTCAGGTTCGGCCCTGTTTCAACAACAACTACTTGGGTGGTTACGGGACGAACATGCGGAGCACGTCACTGTGGGTTCTTCTTCCGTCTCAGGCACCTACCGCGTCTGCTGGTGCGCCCACAACTACCAGGGCTGCAATCAGGACGCGCACTTTGCGCTCGGAGGGCCCAGCTGTGAGATGTTTGCCACGGTTCGCTTTCTCAGTTCAAAAACAAATGGAACCTTTTCAGGGTGCAACTGAAAAATCCTGGTTTAGGGTCACCATTTAGTTTCGCCTATCCGACAGGTCCAAATAAACCAGGTTGAGAGGGGGGGGAAACAAACTTTTGCCGGGTGAGACTCAAGGTTCCCCGCCTCAGATTCTTCTGAGTTGCAGTCGATCTGACCCCTTGACCTTAGAGTTGACTTGCAGCTCTAGTCATCCCATGTGAGTTGCTGGTGCTCAGGGAATGACCCGGAAGGGGATTTATTTGTTGCTGTCATTCCATTTCTCATTTCCTGCCTATTCGGGGGCTGGGATGTGCAAGCCGGGAAGTGGGAGGTCAACACTGCAGCTTCGGATGTTTGCGCGTGCTCGGCTTCAAAGGTGTCGCGTCAACTGCGTAGTTTCGTAATATCGAGCCCTGCTTTCTCAACCCCCCTCCCCGCCGGTATTAATCAAAACATTCCCCATCATTCCCCACGGAAGAAGGAATGCTTAATCACAAGTGGGGGGGTTATTAACCAGGCATTAACTAACCTTTTGGCGGGGACGCCAATGTTTGCTCAATGAGTCAACATTGCGGAAAAGCAGCCAGTAAGGCAGCCAGCGGGTATGTATGCAGCATCCGTTTAATTGTATATATGTATACATAAATACGTCGACCAAAAGGAAGTATTATATGTATTGGTTTTGTGCATGCAAGTATGTATACAAAGAATCCAACCCGGCAGTTCGTCGGCTTGCTCTGGCGAAAACCTGAGGTTGGACGTGGGGGTCATCAACCCGCGGGGCGCAGCAAACACCACGATGATCAGCGCCATTCCCGGGCGTGACTTGGCCCAATTTTTTGGTGCAGTGGGAAGCATCTGAGCGTGCAACGCCGTACTGACAACATATTTTATATATGTTTATATACCCCTGTTATTTTCCTTGGCGGTTTTTAGCCGTCCGGTTGCTTGGGTTAGGTTCTTTAGTTGGTTTTGTGCTTGGGCTGAGCCCAGAGGTTGAACTGTTAGGGGATCTAAGGACAGCCCGGTAAGGGATCCTTCTCTTCAAATGGGCAAAACCGCATACCTGCATCCTCCAAGGTGTGCTTTTTCGCCAAACAGCGGAAATTTTGCACACCCGGAGTGCCCAGGTATAACATCCATGCGGGGGGCATTGTGTCCCAGATATTATCCGTTTTGGATGGTTTAAGCAGCACCCTTTGTGTAGCCATAGCAAGGGGGAGTTTGCCATTGGGCAGCAATAGTCGCCAATTTCCTCTCTCCTATGATACTAATAAATATGTTTGTTCCAAGACCGCGAAGGTCTCAATACTAAGTTAGAACTAGCGGCCAGTACTGATCTGATTCTAAACCAGCAAATGTGCCGCCGACCCCAACTCCATTTATATTAGGGGACATCTTGCTGCCAATATTAAACCAATACGAAGCCAAGACTGAAGCACATTACCAACTAACTTAATATGTTCTCTTCTTTCCGGGACTCGTAAGCGCTCAACGAGTCAGGCCCTTTCTCGCTCACCGTGAATGCCGCGGATGGGTCCACCCTGACCGGGGATGATCGCATCAGGCCGGGATCAGAAGCTGACCAAAGCGATCAGTGGTCCTCCCACAAAAGTCCTGATGCAGGACTAAACATACTAAACATTCAATAAAAAAGGCTGTTGTTTCTAGGGGGACGACCTGTGCAGCGCACGCGTGTACTCTATAACTGGCCATGCCACCTGAGCCACAAAAGGGACAGTCCTAACCAGAATTAGGTGCGGCCGCCTTTCGTAGTTCTTTACAGCGGTTTGGGTGGACCATTTGAATACTCGTTTTTGATTGTGACTCACCTGGCACGAAAGTGCGAAGATGAATGCTTTTCCTCTGTTTGTTTTTTAAAGACCTTTCGACCTCGACAAGGGGTCCTGCATTTCCTTTTCTGGGAGGTTGTGTAACATTTGCCTGGGCCGGTTGTGGGGATCTCTATCGGTGGGGCAGTTGTGCCAACCTCACCCGGAAATGGACTGGAGGCATGAGCCTGGCAAGCGAAGGGCATAGGCTTGACGTGGCTTTCAAGCTGGGTGTCAAAGCACCCTAGCTGTGTCAACAAGATTTGTAGAGAGAAGGAACCGACCATTTGAAAATTTGAAAGGTTCCCTAGATGTTCCTCGCTTTGATGCCCCCATTTGTCAAGGCCTTGTGATATCTTGTTGTTTGCGTCTGCACGAAAAATAATGTTGATGTGTGGTTGTTTGTTTGCTTGCTTGCTTGCTTGCTTGCTTGCTTGCTTGTTTGCTTGTTTGTTTGTTTGTTTGTTTGTTGTCCTGTCCAGGCCTTTTGTCTAAGTATTTTGCATGCTCTATCTGCTTCCCACGTTGCCCAATGGCGCCCTTGTTTGTGTTTTTCAGGTCGTCCCTTTGAAATCATCGAATTCCCTTGGATAGCCCGCAGGCAAGTATGAGGGGACCCCTTCAATTTGAAGCCAAATTCGGAAGGTACCCACGTACCAAACCAAGTCACCAATTCGAGGTAAGGCGAAAGAAAGCCGGGCGGACGCGAAGTTTACAGAGTTGATTTGCAGGGACGCCGCAAGCCACCCCTTTCAATGATCCAGTGCCAGGAGTGAATAATCAGGTGGGCCTTAGACTACTGCTAATGAACAGTGCCGGCTTGCACCACAGGACAGTTATGTGCGCAGCACCAGAGCCCATGAGCCCATGTGTTGCAACCCACTGGTCACCCAACTCGGCCTTCTTAAGGCAGAATAGGGCCAAACTTGAGCTGCAGGGGAAACTTGCCCCCAGATAACTGCGTGGAGGCATCATATACCCCATACACACAGGGGGACTCCGCACCTGGGGGCCCCGCTCCAGAAATTGTCTTTGGCAAGTGGAAGGCATATGAAGGCATGTGAGGGCATTCTGGGAATTTGTTTGAGGTTGCATTTAAGAGACACCCAGCAAACCTAGCAACTCAAAGGAAGGGTTTCTGACATTGCTGCAACTGCTGTTACACTGGTGCACTAGCTGTGTGGCGATGGTTTTTGCATTTGCTGCTAGACCTCTACTTCTGCTGCTGCTGCTGCTGTTTCTGGACTGACGTTGGCAAACATGCGCGTTTTTCTCGAGATGTGGTGCCCTCCAAAAAAGGTCGGATGAACGACCCCTTCCAGAAGCGACGGTGGCACCTTGCCCACCCCCCGATTCCCTGTCCGCAGGATCGTGCGCTCTGAGGTGTGGGGCGCTAAGCGTGTTTCTGACTATTTGATTGTGATCCTCTACTTGGATCCCTTGGTCAGGTTTTGGAATGATTAAGAGAAACATACAGGTGTTGGTCATGCTGTACTGCTGTCGCTTTGTTTGGGCCGGCTACTCGGTTGGGCGGCATTTGAGCAGAGAGCCAAACGTCTTCCAGTTCTTCTCCCAAGGTTCGTCGCTTCGATCAGCTTCACCACGTTCGAGCTTTGACTTAAAACTTGTAGAGAAGTTTTGTGTTTCTGACTGCCTGGCAGACTGCTTGATTCGCAATCGCATGAATTGGGGAGCTTGACATGCAGTCTTCTTCTCACTGTTTAGTGTCCTCTCCAAAGATAGATGGGTGTGCCTCAAAGTGAGGGCATCCTCAGACTGGCTCATGTGCCCCTCTAAACCAACCGAAAAGCGATTCCCGAAACCGAAACAAGCAAGCAAACAAACAAACGCACACACACACACACTATTGTTGGTATGTCAACAAGCAAAAACCTCCCCCCGCCCCCCACTTTCTTGCATGTTGGGGTAGATGGAATCTGATGCAGAAACGGTACATGGCGTACCCCGGGTGTGGGCCAAGCAAATTGGGGGGGGGGCGGGGACCCCTGACTCAGCAGACCTGCGCGCCGTTGCTTTTGATCACCTCAGGTCCGACGGGAAGTGCGGCGGTTTCGGAACCTCCGCGCGGCACTGAGACAGCCTAGCGAAGCCCATGAAAATGCTGGGCTCTCCCTTAGGTTTCCCTCACCGGCAAAGTACCCGCCCTAGAGTACAACAAATCGAGCAATTACTTGTCTCCACATGGAAAAAGCACAGCATGGAGAGGTGTCCCGTGAATTTACCTCTTAAACAAAGCATCCAAAAAGGCGCAACTCCAAGCAGCATGTTGGTGCTGCTTTTGGGCAGATGTTTCCAGAGTGGAACTCCACCCAGAGAACTGCAGCTTGCTTGTTCTGAGTGGCGAAGCATGAAGCTTACAACCATACCATCAGGAAATGACAAAGAGCTCGCCGATTCGGGGGATTGGACGAGTGATTCAACCCATGATGACTGCCCTTTACTGAATATACTGGGGGTCTTCCGCATTGTTGGTTTGGTACTAATTGTTATAATTGCCTATAGGGTGTAAGGGTACGCAAGGGTGAGATCAGGCCTTTGAACCTTGGTTGCCGACTCGCACCGTAACCCCGCATGTTTGAGAGGGGAAAGGGACGATGTTGCATCTCGTCTTGATTTCAAAGCAAGAAGCAAGTTAGGGCATGAAGCTGTGGGCCCAGAATTTGCTTTGCGACAGGCATGTCAGCTCTTTTTCTTGAAGGGACCCTCGACCTTGACGGACCTTGAAGACACATTTGGCCGTTGGTTGATTAAGGCCCCCCCTTCATGGAACCCAAAGGATCTCTGATAACCTGTGCTGGGCTGAATTGGATTTGGATTCAGATTTGAACCCCTCGGGGGTAACTGGGACCCCACAGAACCCAAAGCGGGATTTGTGCGTGGAATTTGAGGACCCCAAGTTCTTCTTTTTGGGCAACTGGGAAACCCGGAAACCACGCCACGCCACGCCACACCGGGGCCCGCTTTCGCGCGAGGTGATGTCCCCGGCGGTCTCGGATATCGCCTGCTGGCCCACCTGCGTGGACTCCCCCGTCTTCGGCGCCGGCGGCCCCAAAATTGCGGGGGGTTGCGGAAATGGGTTTGGCTTAATCCCTAAACGGGAGGAGGCAGGATTCAATAAAATCAGGTATGAATTCCTGACTCAGGTAATGTTGACCCCAGATCTAAGTAGAACCCATCCTAGTAGGGTGTGAAGGCCCGCCAAAAGGGATGAATCCTTACTTCATCCGGGGACACCCCTCTATCAATAAACTGGGGTGGATTAATCTGGGGTTCCCATTACCCCTTAGTTGTTGGTTCGGATTGGTGGTTTTGCATTTGGATTGAAACCTCCGAACCATCAAACCAAACCAGCAATTGGAGGGAAGCACTTGTGAAACAGGGGAAATGGAGTAAAGCCAAGGTCCTGCACTTTCGACACTTGTTTGGCACCATTTTAGAGGCACACAAAAAGCATGGACTGTGTTTTGCCAATCTCGTCAGGAAGTAAAGTGTTGGGTGTTGACATCAGCAGGGTTGGCTGGCACAATTGTTAACTAGTTGCCATGGCCGCCCGTTTAGAGGTTGTATATGTTTGCAACCTTTTCGGAGCGTTCGGAGGTTATAGGTCTTGCCGCGAAAGCAGGGCAACGCTGGAGAAAAACATGTTATTGTTGCGATCCCACATTTTGAGCACAACCTGTCAGTCGTTCCCGAAACGGAAATGCAAACAAAGGAGCCCTACAGCTTCCACACGATCGACCCACTTCTGAAATCCCAAAAGCTGCCCTCTCTCTCACTAACATGGCACCTGAGTCCATGAGAAACCTGGTAAAGCCTCGTGAAAGAGCCCGGGATGCCTGGGAAAAACTTCCCCAATTCATTTCTCCCCAACGCTTGGGCTTGGGCCTGGAAATGAACACATAGTGGGTGCTTTTTGTTGCTTTGTTTTTTTTCGACGTTTGGCGGGGTCTTTGGGCTCTTTGTCCCGAATTCCTCTGGTCCCTGGAACTGGTTCCTGAAGTTTGGCATCTTTGAAAAGGCCCTGGTCCAATTCCTTTGTTGTTTTAACCCTTAACTCTTAACGCGGTTTTGTCAAGACGCATGAACAAGGGGTTGAATTGCACCTCCCTGGTATATAGCCTCCATACCTCTAGGACCCTGGTTTTGAGAGAGGGTGCCCCCAAGACCAGATCCAAGGTGTTCCCCCCCCCCCCAAGTGAAAACCTCTCAACAGGCGCTACCCTAAACCCCAGCTTCCCCTAAAAGTTTTGGGCTAAAACCTCCTTGGGACTGTGCCCGACAGGAGAGAGACAGAGAGAGAAAGAGAGAGAGAGAGAGAGAGAGACCGTTTAAAGGGAACCTTTTGCTCAAGCATTCCCTTTAGGTTTGTAGGTTTTCAGGGTTTGGTGGGGGATGTGACTAAACTAAAAGTTAAGCTTTTAGCACGAGATCAGCTCAGCTTCTTCTTCGCCGGGTTCATTCACGTAGGCACCGCAGATGGGCACCAACAACGAGTCGGAGGTCTGGGATCCGGTGCTGATCATGGAGAGCTGTTGACTCAGAACCGAAGCGCCACCTTTTTTTTTTTTGGGCGGGGTGAGGAGTTGAATAAGGATTTGGCTTGGGTGTGTCAAATCCACCCAAACCAGGGCACCTCAAAACAAGACGAGAACAACCCTCCTCTTAGAAGAGGGAATCACCATGAAACCTAGAAGACCCATGTGTCTCAACATGTGCGCTTGGCTTTCTGAGATTTCCCTTTGCTTGGTTTGGACTCCTATGAAATGAATGGAGTGGGCCACAGCAAACCTCCCAGTGGGAGCTCCTCGCAATGAACCTCCCGGACCTCCCTCTTGGTCGAAGGGAAGCCAACAGGAAACCAATCATTTCAAGGACCCGTATTTGCGAAAAAACAGAAATGGTACCTTCTCAGGGGGTTCTACTCTTAGAATCCATTCTGGCTTAGTGGGCTGCTAGAATTTGTTCCACGCCAAAACAGGAGCTCTCTTAGCTGACCTGATTTTCTGTTGGTTTTGGGTCAGCCATAAATCTTTCGGCCTTGCTCCAAAAACCGTTGCCTTTGAAACTTGTTCGTTGGAACCTTGGAAGGTGGCTTCAGCAATGGCTCGGAACAGAAGACCCCATGGGTAGCTGGTAGCAGCGAGTTCGGCTTGCCAGCAGACATGGATACACCCAGGGCGCATGACAGCCTTGATTTCGAGAAGTTCAAGCATGTTTCAACCCCTGGTCCCTTGAATCCTGTTGTGAGGAAAGTTTACCTGAATCCGGAGGCACTTGGCAGCCAAGAGCCCCAAGAGCCGAGCCTGTTTCCGTAACGCGCAACGTTCCTGTCCTTCGGAAGCACGTCCATTCCCTTATCAATTTTGCATGGCAGCCCTGGTGCCCTGCCCGATGCTTTCACCGACCACCTGGTTCGCACTTAAAATGAAGGTCAGAGCCGCTTTAGGGATCTCCGGGATGTTCAACCTTTTCTGCAGGCCAAACCTATCGGGCCCCTTTTCACCAGAGTTTAAATGTTCGCTTTGGGACAAAAACAAAGCTTGTTTCACAACAGCAGTGACTTGTTTCGGCGCCAATCTACGAAGTGTTGATCGCCTGGCTGCACCTCTAACCTCATCAGGGTCGACTAAAAAAACAACTTCCATTTGATTAAGACGATTCTATATTTTCTCTTGTTGGTTTTAAAGGGAATCTATCACTACTGGACATATTTATATTTTTAGGGGGCTTATGCAGATGGAAGACAAAAAAGAACCCGTTTTCTTTGAAGGCCTCACCGGCATTGTGCAGTCGAAGCCTCCTACCGAGCCTTTGAGAACATGCCCAGGTGGCGAGTACAACATCTGCTGGTGCAACTCCGGCAACGGCACTGCTGGCGCTCGTTCCATTGGCCTCACTACAGGAAATCCAAAAAGGATACACCCTTTAGGGAATGGGTGGGTCAACAATCTCCCGCGGAAAGTGGGGCAGGGCTTGTCAGCCCTTATCACTTGTTGTTTGGTTACGGTAAGCAGCAACCCCAGCAATCTCCCAAACACTCAACAAGGCCCGTGACAGGATAGCGAGGTGAAGCACCTTCGATTTCCGGGTCCTTTGTGTGCAAACCAAGCTCTTAAGGTACAGCAGGGTATTTGTTGTGTTCTGTGAATCCAAATTGGGCGAATCAGAATTTCAACCATTTGCATATTGAAACACGTGCAAACAGGTATAGATATGTAGACATATGTATATATGTATACAAACGCACGCATATGTCCATAGCCATTGGGATAGCCGACCTTGGCGTCTCAGAAGGGGTTGTGCTGTCAGGCGCCGTGATTTCCTTTGCGGTCGGGTTCTGGGTGTAGCCCACACTTGCTATGGCCTTCAAGGGAAACCGCCAGATGGACAGGTCCTTGGATCTTTGCAGGTCCCTGTCTATGGAAAGCTGTATACTTTGTGGGAGGGTTTTTTCGAGGCCATCGAGTCACTTTTCCTGGCCGCTCGTCAGCTCGGCAGCCTCATCCCAAAGGAATAGTGGAGGGGCCGTTTGAAGGACATGGTCTTCCGAAGCCTCCCGATCCACTTCCAGAATCGTTGCTCCCCGCAACTTCATATGGAGCACAAAAAAACGTCATTTCAAATGGACTGAATTGGGTACCACCCTGTGGATGGACGAAATCCTGCACTTCCCAAGAAACCCCGGAATGATGATTCCCCTGTAAATGCCAACGAACAATGGTTTCCCATGGTTTTAAGGTGGTGCAACATTTGGTCCATCCACCGTAGGGAATGGCCAGCTGCTGCCAGTCAGTTAACGCGGGCCCCGCTTCGCCAGGCGGCTGTGACAGCGACCAGGATTTCGCCTTCAAGGCTGGCCCCTCGCCAGCACTGATCCTGCCTCCGGGCGAGCTCGCCCGAAGATTGCGCGTGAGGTGTTCGCAACAGGGTAATTCTGGGGATGTGTCAACATGGGTCTGTCTGTCTTTTCATGTTATTTGAAACACCCACCGAAAAGGGGTGTCCTAAAGACACAATGTGACATGCTCGCATCCGCTTCTCACATCCATACCCATATGTTTCTCCAGCTCTGTTCCCCAGCTTTGTAAAGCATTTGCTGGGCCGGTTTTACAAAACGAGAGGCATGTTTGAAGGACACGCCTGGTGAAAAAAGGCTTGAGGGCCCATCAGGAAGCCAAATGGATCCCCTTGCCCAACCTCCCAACCTCCCATGTTTCCGGTGTCCTGCGATCTCAAGAAGGCTGCAAGTTAGGGTATTTCAGGAAAATCGTGGGGAGGCTCAACGGCATCTATGACAAGGAAGTTGTTTTAGGAATTTGGCATCTAAACCTTATTAGCCCAAAGCAAATCGACCGCACTTGACCTTTTGGCCTTCCCTTCTTGGCCCATTTGGCGCCAAGGTGTGATCATCGCCACAGGAGTGCCCGGAGCTGAGTCGGAGTAGTAGTTGCAGCATCGTTTCCATTCGTTGGTCCTACCAGGGGTTTGGTCCTACCAGGGGTTCAATCCACCAATCCAAACCACCAAGTATAGTTAAAGTTTCCTAACATTGCCTCTCAGGTCTTCTCCAAACAATTCACAACTGGGGTTGCCTAAATATCAAGCACAACTTGAACATGGCACTGTGTGTGTTTCCCGGATGTGGGCCCAAAACTTAAAGAATACCGTCCTGGGCAAACCAAAGTGATGGCTTCCCTTCGTATTGTTTCCTTGGTCTCGACTTGACTCAGGAGAGGCAGTAGGGCCCCATACCCTCACAAAGGTTCTCAGCCTTTAATTCGAGCCCCTTCTAAGAAGGAACTTAGAATCTGTGCTGGCTGGAGAGTGGGCGACTCTTGTGTTTCTCTCCTGCGTTGTTGGCAATAATCTAAGTGGCAACCAGGGAACCAAATGTCAATGCCCAGGCAAATGTGTTGTTGGAACCCTTCTCGAGGTACAGCTTTCCTATCTAGACGCCTGGCAAAACAGACTCACAGCCCGAAAGCAAGACTTCTTGGGGCATCACTGGGAAATACTGTGGATGCACGCATTCCACCACCGATTCGTAGGTGATTCATCCCAGTGCATACGTACTTGTAGGGTTTCATCCGTACCAAGGATCTTGCCCATCAGAAGGATTGATTTGGCGTTCCTAGGTCCAAAGGCACAGCACCTTGAGACATTTATCCCTGATGGTTTTGATCTTCAATCGAGTGACCCGAAATTGGTGGTTTGAATTGCTGGTTTGGGGGATCTTCCCACTTATTTTGAACAGCAAGATATTTGTTCACCCCAAACCCCCAATCCCAAGCCACCAATTGGCTTCTTGCCTGGCTCACTGGCTTTCCGACGATCATCCGCCCTCAAGACTTGCAGCTCAAGACATGACGTGGGAACTGGACCTCGTCTTCTAAGCGCTGCAGCCAGTATCTTTTTTCTTAACAGCCGGAAACCACACCTCTCAACATGGGTGCAAAACGCAACTCTTTTGTGACAGCTGCATTTCTGGGCATCAACACCCCAGGGTTTGCTCTGAGACGCAAGTACGTTTACTGAAGGGGCCAATAGCTGGTGGCTTCTGGCATTTCTGTTGAACATTGTTTCATTTTCAGGTTCGCCAAATATGCACCGCGAAAAAGGACGTTGTTTAGGAGGCAAAAGCTGAGGCAAACATGTCATCAGGTGATCTGGGCTCCAAGGCATTCCGGCAGATCCTTTGGGTAGCGGGGGAAGCCAAATTGGCCATGGACTGGATGTGGAATTCTCAAATAGGCCGTTTGACCCCCGGCTTTATAAACCCGTTCTATTTATAGAGGATGTTCCCCTCCAAGAGTGATGAATCCCCACTAAACCAGGCACACCCCTTATTCATAAACTGGGGTTCATTACTCCGATGTTCCCGTTGTTTGGTCTCATTTGCCCTTGGCAAAGACTCATCGACTCCTGAGATTTTGGGGAGGGAGAATCGGAATCAACTGCTCGATTTCTGAGGGACATTGGCCTGCACTTTCACTGCGCGGCTTACTTCCCCTGCGTCGTGGAGGTGCCACTTACAGGCGCATGCCGAGATATCGCGAGGCCAATGAGTGCAAGGTGTCATGTCCCCATGGCTCTACGGACGCCAAAGGCTTTCTCGCCCCAATTCGGGCTTTTGCCCTTTTTCCGAAAGGGCCAAGTCAGTTGCCAATTGAACCCGAACTAGAGGGTCCTTGAGTGAAAGAGTCGGGAGTGCTTGAGGGCTTTGGCGACCCTGGGTCGGTCACCTGGAATCGCAGGGAATCACTTCCCAAGCATTGCAAAGACTTGTTGACCCCCCTCTGCAGTGTTTAGGAAACAAGTTGATTCCCATTGGCGTGTTGGCAAGGCTTTAGAAGATTGCTTGTCCCATGCTCGTCCAAGGAATTCCGGTTGGAAATCAACGTTGAATCGGGTCAACCCTGCGCTTCAAAGGAGGAAGCGGCGCCAACAAGATTTGAAGATAGGTTTCTTTGCGGGTTCATAGCCTCTCCCCCTGCTAGCGTGGATTTCCAAGTGAACCAATTGGGTTCAACCACAAAACCCCAGCAAAATGCGGAAACTTTCAGAGCTTTCCTTGTTCCCCTCTGAAGTTTTTAGGCAGTGGTCGAGTCTGAAACTAGCAAGATTCGGTTGATGCGTTCTTTTGATTGGCGGATCGCTGTACGGGCCCCTCGGACAAAGATCTGAGACAGTTTGCTCATCAAACTGTTTCTCAACCGTACTGCCTCTCCCAGAAACGCACCTTTGGCCCACTCAGAGTCGCAGGGTCGGGTCCATTTTGTGTCTTTGGAGCGGGCGCCAGATGGACTCTCCAGCAGTGACTACTTGCAGATGGTGCCAGCTGCCCCAAGTGCCGGTGCCCAGTCTGTTTTTCGCCTTGGCCGTTGCGGGTTGGCATCCTAAGACCACGTTGGATTGAGAGGATCTCCAGCTCCATCCTACTTGTCCGCTAGCTTTTCTTGATTGGCCCGACTTGGGTTGTTCCCTGGGGCCTCCGAGCTGATGGGGCAATCCAGGAAGCGGAATTTTGACCAGGCACCTTGGTTTGAACCATCCAGTTTGGTTCCGAATTCTGGTTCTGGAATGACTCTGGGAGATGTTGACCCTGGAAGATGTTGACCCTGGATAGGGTTGGCAATGGTATACAATTGGCTTGCTTGCCGGTCAGGTGTTTCAAGCAACCCAGCCTCAAATGCCTGGGACATTTTTAGTCAGCCATCGTCTTATGCAACGTGCACGCCTCCACCGGGTCTCCCGTCATTTCAGCGGTTCATGTTCACTACCGCGGGCCCCAACTCCCAGCCGTTGTTTTTTGTTTTTTGTTATACATCGGAAAAAGGGGGAAGACCTGCACCCTGAGTGGATCAATTGGATCAATCACTGAAACGGAACCCAATTCTTGTCACTTGGAGGTGGGACCCATTGCAAGCCCACAGTAAGGTGACGATTGTGGGAACGACGACGTTCTACCGCATGTTCTTTCCCCCGCGAACATCCTGAAAACCGTTCACTTTGTGCCCGAAGCCCCTTTGCTTTGGCCGCTCCACCTACACTCCCTCAGACTAACGTGGAAGCTCCCAGGAGGCCTCTGTAAATGGAACCAAGGCTTCCAAAGGGGTCTTGGGAGCTTCCATGTTAGTCTGAGGGAGGGTATGTTCTAGGAATCCGATGAGCGCGGTCACAGTCTGTAGAAGCCAGTCCAATGGCAGCGGCCCGAGGCGCGCGCTGCGGCACGGACACGCGCGCGCCAGCCACCAGCTTCTCGCGGGGCACGCGGGTCAAGGGCTACACAGGCGAGAGGGGGGGGAATGGTTTCGTGGCGAAGCCAGCCATCCGGTTCCTCAGTTGTTCAAAGCCGACCTTTGGACCTTTTAGCTTTCCCTTTTTTGGTCTACTCTTAGTAGCGGTCCCAAAAGGTTAACCTTTGATTTCCAGGTCCTTTGGGCAAGTGAGCTTTATTTTTGTTGCCTTTTAGTGTTTAGCGGGGATGTCCATTTAACCCACTAAAAGCTAGCGGGGGATCTGAGGACAGCGCATCTCACCTGGCGGAGGGATCACAAACTCCAGCTGGGTAGGAGGGATCGCCAACGGTTGTTTCAGCACATCTCCGCCTGTTCTCGGGGGGACCCTAGCTCTCTAGTCAACCGGGATTCGTGTGGGCGTGGGAAGGTCACTTCTCATGCGCTTTCAGATGAGTTAGAATAAAAGGTTTCCGAGGTCCAAACTGACTCGCCTGCAGATGTTTCAGCGTGCAGGATTCTATGGGAAAGGTCTGTAATCGTGTTCAACGTCAAGAAGCGCAACTTGAGTGTAGCGTACAACGACGCTCTATAGGAGTCTTTGCATGCCCCTACGACGGCGTGCAGACCACGAGGAAAAGAGGGTCTACAAGGTCCATTCGGCCTTGAACCCCTCAAAAGAAAACACCTTTTCTGAGGCTTATGCCGGGCTTGTGTAGGGAGGACCCCCGTCTGCCTCTGCATTGCCTTATTCAGGAATATCGGAATATCTTCGAGCATACCCTATAGGCTTCTGAGAGAGAAATGCGAGCCTCTCATGGGGAGATTGCATACGATTGTTTGATCCCATGCCGGAAGATTTCTGTTGGAACTTCTGTCGATACAGCAACAATCGTTGGCTTCCTTTCTGGATGCAAGTGAGGGAATGGATTCAGGGCCTGCACGTTTCCGCGTATGAGGCTTTCAGCATCATCCACTGCACCTGCGCTCTAGGGGATGCATGGGACATACGAAATGATCATTTTGCAGTCGGGTTTGCCGTTCGGTCTTTTTGTCGGCTGATTTGGCCTTGCTTGACTTGGCCGTTCGGCGCGTTATTTCGGTCAAATTCTGTTGGCCAATTCGTCCCTGCGCGCAGGGCTCTGAACCGGTGAAACCCTCCCGCCTCGGCTCGTCAGGCCGCGATACCGACGGGAAGGACGTGGTGATCTTCGAGTTCGGATCGCCGCAGGCCAACAGATCTTCAACTCCGAAGCGGGGTGGGGGCTGAAGAAACACCCGTGGTTTCGTGTATATATATAATTATGATATGTCCTGTGAGGGGGTAGTTGTTTGGGTAGTGATATGTTTCATCCGGGGAAGGGATTTGTTGTTTAGTTCCCCTCCCCAATTTCACTGATGACCACAAGTGAGGCGAATATTTAACATTAGCGGTAAGGCTTCTCAATCCTCTTTGCTCTCGCTCAAGTAGGGGTGCAAGATGGGAATGGGTGGACGTTGGAAACCTAGAAGAGAAGGCAGCGATTCATCCTTCCATGCCTAGGCAGCCGGATGTAAATCCAAAGCCCATGAAACCCATCCATGACATGATGACTATGACGTTGCACAATGGATGGAAGAATTCGGATTTCAAATGGGATAGCTCCCAGCCGGGGTGGCTCACGGGGGTTCGTTGATGGCCAGGCGCCGGGAGTGTACCTCGCCTGCTACTGCCAGGGTAACGCATTGCGCCCAGCGGCGTCTAGACACGTTGGGATGGGTGCAGAGCGACCAGTGGAAGACGTTAGCCAGGGCAAATGATACTGAGCTGGGGGGTAAACGAGCTGAAAGATTTGTTTGCAATTCGAGATCGATTGATTGCAATTGGGACTTATTGAGGGATTTGCCCCTGGAATCTAAGCACCTATCGCTTTGCTGACAAGGCATGAGAATACTTTCGTTCTGGGGAGCCTTCCTGCCCGCTTTCCTGCTGAAGGGTCTTGGATTTTGATACCTAGCTGTTGAAGCTTTGGCTGGGCAATCTCCACCCCAAAATGATGGATAGAAGGGGTGGTGAACAGAAGGGGCAAAACAATTACTAGCAGCTTACCCCAACCATGACTAAATGTTGCTTGGAAGTTCCCCATCATTCTAACCCTTTAGGCCCTATCCCAGTTGAATTTGGGGGGCAGCCTTAGCGGCTCTTCAGCCACTGCCTGGATCTGAGCGGGATACGTTTCGCATGATATTTTGTATAATATATTTTGCCTTCATGGTAATTTGTTGGGGTCTCAAAAGTTATTCTGCAATGCAGGGTGAGTAAATATTGAGCAGAATGTAAACATATATTGTGTTGTTGGCTCCCCAGATGTCGGCCAAACCAGACTCAGGTTTTCTTTGAAACAAATGAACATATAGTTTTTGGTGTCCCCCACCCAGATCGCTGGCAAGCCACTGTAGGGAACCCTCAAAAGCATGTGCCTTTTGGTTTCGAGACCTGGTTTTGGTTGCACAACATGGGTTCCCCAGCAGAGGTTCACAGAAAAATGGCCCAAGACCCTCCAGTCAGATTCCATGTGGATGGGATACCTACGGGAAGCGGAGCTGGTTGGGTTGGGCCGGGACCAGATGAGGTCTGCTCAGGCGCGACCAGCGACCAGGACTTCTTTCAGCAAGCCGGGCAGGCCGCAGGGCCCGAGAAGCGGATTCACATCGCAAGGGCTTTCGGAGGGACCAACAGAAAGGTGGTTTTTTGTTTCCCGGCTCCTTAGGCTTTTTGTTTTTGAGTTGGTTTGGTGGTTGGGTTTCCACTTCACCCACGAAAAGTGAAGCTTTTGGCAGGAGATCTGAGGACAGCCCAGTAAGAGGGGCTGTTTGGAGTTTGTTTGTCTTGTGGCAGAATGTTGGGGTTATGACACCTCCAGGTGAAGACTGGCAGGCCGTACATTTCAAGCCAAAAGGGGTGTCAAAGACATCCTCCATGCGGCATGCAACTGACCCTCCCTTTTCGCAAGGGGCCTTGTTTGGCGAAAAGGGCCGCTGGCCAAGCGCCCATAGAGTCCATATCTAAGTTACCATATCTAAGTTCTCTAGACTCCCAACCCCTCACTGTGTTGCATTCGGAACTTTGCCAGCTCCGGCTCAGAACGTCCCCTCCTTTTCGGGTAAGCCACCAGTTGCCAACCTAAGCAAACTTCATCCGTGTTCCTCTCAAATGATCTTCGGACAGACAAGTCCGCGAAGTTCAGCTCCGCAGGTTCTTTGAGTCCGCGCACTCAAGAACCCCCTTGTTTTAGATCAGCGGATTCCGGCCTCTGAATCCCTCTTTCTTGGGTTGGGTCCCACAAAGCAAAATACCTCAAGCCCGAGAAGGGCTGCGACTCTGATTCCAACGCGATCGGAGGCCCCGCAGCCCCAGTTCCACAGACGTGTAGCATACAATGGCGGCACCGTTCCCCTCGGGTTTACACTTGAGCCCCTCACTCTGCAATCCACATTTTGTTAGAAACTATGAGACTTTGTGTCACTGTTTGATGGGAGGCTTTGAGAGAATATGGTTTGCTGTTAGAAATCCCTTTGGAAGCATGTAGACTTCAAGCACGTTGTCAGATGGGTTGTTTGGTGGTGTGGAGGTCATATATGGCCATTAGATTGGGGCGGTAGAATCCCTTACTGTTATCCCTTACTGTACGTATAAGTGGTTTGCAACCTCCACTTTCACTGAACATACTCCATTCTTAGTGACCTTTGGTGCTTTCCAAAACGAAGCTTGCAGGTCTGAGTTGGCTCGGCCAGGTGACAGTGATGGGCCTTCAGGGCAGAGATGACTACCACAAGTGCTACCTGCGCCCTGGATACGAGTGGGCAACATGTTCTTTTCAGCGCACCAGATCTCCCGGATTTGTTTACATTCACCCTGTGTAACCACGAGTTTTGAGGAGCCTCTTTGTATATTGGGGAACTCCCTTTTCGGTTTTTGGGTGTCAGTATTTGTGGTACCTTTGTAGAACTCTTCCAGGGGTCCACAGCAAGCGCATGCAAACCATCGCGAAAGAAGCCTACAGCAAAGTTCGCGGGGCAACAGGTGCCGAGCGTGAGACAGCGAGGTAGATATGTGTGTTGACGCAGGCAATTCGCATTGTTTTGTTGTGTTGGACGCTGGCAGCGCGCAACACGGGTCCCTTCAAGTTCCATCCCGGGACTGGGAGCACGCCAAAATAACAATTTTGAAGTTGGACACATCCCGGCGAGGAACAATTCTCAGCATCCTTGGTTCTTTCTAGTTTCCTGGGTACTCACCAAGCCCTTGTTACTTACAGGCGGTGCCGCGTTACCCTCAGAAGCAGAAGAGATTCTTACCAAAAAAGACCCTCTGAGGGCTACGAATCACATGCTTGCTCTTCTGGAAGTCTACTTGCTGGTTCCGGTTGCTTTCAAATAGAGACCCTGGGACTTTGGAGGCGGTTCATCCTCGAACCGCGCGCTTGCGCGCGCTTTTCTGCGCAGAAGCACGCGCGTGGGTGTCAGCTGAGGCGGGGGACGTGCAAGCTGAGTCTCCGTGGCGCCGGTCTGGATGAGCAAGATGCCGGGCGCCCCGAAAGGGAAGCGCAAGATGCACGGGGCATGGTGGTGCGGCTGGCCATCCCTTGTGGTTTTTTGGATATTTTGCTTGGGGTGTTCTTTTTTTTTGCATGGATGGCCTCCGTTTGTTTGAAGCACTGAAATCCATTTACAGCGGCGTGTTGGGCACTGACAAGTGGAATCGACGGGAGGGCGTTCTGCCTTCCACACCTCTGCCGGAAAAGGCCCATGAAGCTTTGCAGCATAGGGAATTGGCTCTAGGTGGTACAATGTTATAAGGGAGGTGCTTCACATGGGAGTTCTGGTTGAGGGATGACCCACAGGGTTGTGGTTGAAGGATGACGTTGTGCCGTCACTTCTGTGCCCGGCAACTATTACCTTTATATATAGTGTTGTTTGGGGAAGACCTATTGCCCTTCACGCAAAGATCGGGAGATGGGTCGTATGAAGGGTTGGGGAGACGGGAAGGGGATCGTACCGCGGATGGACAGAAGTTTGCACCAGCCATAACGGATGATAAACCACCAACTGGTGCAGGAACTCGTCCAATAGCTTCACGTGCTGAATCTCCATCCATTCGCTTTGGGAAGCCACTATGCGTGGTTGGTTTCCCACCAACCCAACCACCAATCCCAACTGAGCCACAATCAAAACCCGGGTAGATGAAGCTGAGTAAGGGATAATCAGCATGGGTGCCTTTGCCGCCTTTTTGATTCCTTACATGGTTCTGGGTCCCGCGCTATTTTAATTCCGATCAGTCGATCAGTTTTGATTATGACTCAACTGGGCCTTTTCCAGCGGCGCGGATTTCCCATCTGAGGCCCTGATGCTGGTGGATCCCATGGACAATTGCGCGCAGACGGGGCAGCCCGTGAGCTTCAGCGTGGATGGGCCAGGATGCCCCAGATGAAACGGGACTCGCAGATTTCGATTTGAGAAAGACTCAAAGGGAATCTTGCAAATGGATCCAGGTAAAGGATCCACTTTCCAACAAGAGTATGTTTAAAGAGGTCTTTTTTTTTTTCCGTTTCGGTGGTTGGTTGCATTAAACACCATGCACATTCACCTGTTTCGATGGGTTTCTAAATGTAGATGACCGGACACGGTTGATTCAGTCCGGCTTTGCTGACTGCAGCTAGGCTCATTTTAAGGGCTCAACTTCTTGAAAGGAGCTTAGCACCTCACTCCCAAGTTTCTGGAATTGTAACTGGAGAAGATCGTCATAGTGGCGGTTCTTAGCCGTTTGATTAGGCTTTTAGGTTTTTAGTTGGTTTAGTGGGGGTGTCCATTTTGCCCACAAACAGTTTTGAGGACAGCCCAGTTTAGAGCCAGCAATGGGTCGTTTTTGCTGGAAGTGAGATATCGAGTCAAGCCGTGTATTTTGTAGGTTCTTTCAAGCCCATTGCTATGTCGATGTGGGGCTCCCTTGCGCGTACAGCCATACAAATCATTTGCATGGCAATCAATCAAGCTGGGGCCTTCAATGAAGGTCGTTTTCCGATGCTGTCCGTTTTTGAGGGTACACCAGGGCACCCCTGAGTTCCTGGACTTCGTGCTGACGACCCTTTTAGTGGCAAACAAGAAGCTGGGGACTCTTTTGCAACCCGAAGTGCATGGATCCGATCCACGGCACGGTGTCCGAGTTTGCATCTCCGAGCACCCCGAGTGGATGAATCCTGGTGGAAGCTGTTCCCCGGTTTTAAAATGGAGGCCTTATTCATTAACCCGGGGTTGATCAATCCTGGGTCAGCACCAACCAAATTTCAATGCTGGTTGAGTTGTGGGCAAAGATAAAGATGCAGTGCTGCAAGTCCATTGAAGGTTTCCTCCATTGAGACTCTCCAGTTTCTACGTTTTGGGTTTGGACCGTTTTTGGTAAGCAAAAAAGTTCGACCTGTGGGCCAAATTCTGCTCGATGGGAAGTGAGTCTTTGGTTGTTTCTCAACTCCCAGGTCTCAATTCTACACCGGCGCCGGCGACAGGCAGGGCACTTGGGCACTGAGAGCGCCCCCCCCCCCAACCCGGATGAATCTTTGGGAAGGACATTCGTTTGCCCTTGACCTCCTGAATTGGCGAGTGAGTTTGACCAAAATCATATAATCAAATGTCTAAAATTTCTAGGTGTGGAATGTAAAGCAACCCTGGGCCCCTGTCAATTGGCAGTTTGGGGCTTTCAGTATGTACAATACTGCTTCCTTGTTTGGTTAACAGCAGCTAGCAACCTGCTCAATTTCAGGGTCATTTAGCTTCCTCTGGACCCTAGTTGGAACATTCCACATCCACCAGTTCAGCAAGCTTTTGCAACATGAACAGATCTTACCCGTTGACTTCAGAAGGGGTTTTATCAACTTTGTCACGGCAATGAAACAGTTTGGTTACTTCATCTGGCGTTTCGTGAACTCTGAAGGTCCAACCACGTACCACTGGGACGGAGGAACCACTGAATACCACCAGACTCAACCATAAAATGTTTTTGGAGCTCAATGAAGCTGCAACCCATGAAATGACATCCTGATTCTGAGCATGTCTGAGAATGTCAGGGCCATAGCAATGAAGCCATAGAAGCCATTGGAAGGAAGCCATAAAAGTCGTTGCGAGCTAATATTGACAATTAGTGACTACTGTGGATTGACAAAATCCGCTTGCGACCCACCTAGATTGGTGATGTAGCAACCATTCATAGGGTTTCATTCATCCCAACTGGTCATTTCGTTGTTGTCCATCCACAGCAGGGGCCAACGCGATTTAAGGCCATGACGTTCCCATTCCGCTGCTTTGGGGGCCCTAGCCATCAGGGGCCCTTACAGGATATTCAGCATCAAGCAGTTGTTTTTGTTTATGTACGTATATTGGCTGTTGCAGGTGAATGCCTTTTTTCAGGTTCCCCATGCATGCAGGCTCGGAGTCCTTTTGTTTGTGTGGAAAAAACAAACATTGCCCTGCTTGCAACAAACATGGAAGCTGTCAGAAGGGTTTGAAACACAGACGGCAAGGCCAGGTAGCCACCTTTTGCGACAGCTGGAGAGGAATAAACTCATCTAGCTCCAGCCACCAAATGAAAACAACACATAACTTGACAGATTGAAGCCCTACTGCCACGCATCATGGCACTTTGGGCCCCTAGAGTGCATGAGATCAAAGTCCGGCAAACCATGTTTCAGGGACCTTCCGGTTTGTCGGTCGGTTTGATTCCCCGATTTAGTCAGGGGTTTCTCCATTTCCCGTTTCGGAACCTCCAGCAGCGGCAGCTTCAAAGCACACCACCAGTATTGCAGCTATTGGAGGGGAAATCCACTGACCCCTGTAGATAGATACCCAACGGTTTTTTTCGAAAAGGAAATGCACCCATGGGAGTCTCTGATTGCTCACTCACACCCCCCCCCCCCCCTCCCCCCTTGGCCATTGTTTCGTCCGGGTCTTCCTGGGCCGAGCGTATTTAGCGTTTGTTTTCTTGCGAAGCCGAGTCTGGATCGAGACCCAAAAAGGAATGCTCTAGAGGGTTTGTTCAAGTCTTTCGGGTCGACTGAAAACTTCCATTTGCTTGAGTATGTGTTGTTTTCCCCTGTTGTTGTGAAAAGAATCTACCACTACGGATTTGTTTTTTTCCAGGAGCTCAAGCAAGTGGAAGAAACCCATTGCAGAACATAGCAATTCCGTTACATTGGACGGACTCGATGCTCTTGAGCGAATCTCCAGCCAGGATCTTTATCGGCACCTTTGCTTCCTCCACCAACGAAGGCCATCTGAAGATTTCGATCCGTCAGAAATCGTACCGCGCTGCATCCAAAGGCGTAACTTTGTCTCACTCGAGTCGGGCGGTTTTGTGACGACGTCGGTTTCAGCCCACTTTGGTAGTTCCATGCTGGGCAATCCGAAAGTTCAGGTTTATCAAGCCAGGGCCTTTGGCTGGCGAGTTGTGCTTGTTCAACCGAAGCTGGGGACGGCGTATGACCAAGCACCCATGCAAACGTCCAAGGACCCCACGTTCCGACTATGTTTGACTTACCCTCAAGCAGCCCCCACTTTATGGTTTTAAGCTGAGGCTTGGCCCTGGCTTAGCCAAAGTTTTTTGAAAGGTCTCTGGAGTTTGGTTGTGCCTGAAGTAGCAGCTCCTCTTGGGAAGTACCCTACTGAGCAGCGGATGGTTTATTTTCAGACAGGGCATGCCGCAAACGATCCCCAGCAACCATGACAGTATGGAACGTCGCGTCGGGGTGCTCTTAGCTTTCCGGAAGAGGTTCCGAGCATTAAACCACTTTAGTCTAGGGCCAAAACGTTTGCACTTGTAGCTGGTCAGCTCAGGTCACTGAGAAGTCAATCGAACCCTTCCGCGATGTAGCATTGGAGGGGATACCCCTCTTCTCAATCAAAGTGACTCCCTTGCCCACCCGGCTTTTCAAGCTGGGGCTTGGAGATCTCCATGCTTCTGTTTAACGCCATGCCTGGCGTTCTGCCTTTTTTTCGTCTTTCAACAATCAATCTCAAAAAAATCCGCCAAAGAAAGTCTCAAAAAAACACGGCGCCGTGCCTCACAGATCCGCGAGAAAACCACGTCGCCGGCACCGGAGGCCTTGAGAGCTGGTCCTTCGAGCTCGGCAGCCCCGTGCGCACCGGGCGCTTCCGCCTGCCCGGGCTGCCCAGCAACCAACCGCGAAGGGGGAGCGACGCGAAGCGGAGGTGGGTGGGTGGCGTGTTTTTTTGTTTTGTTGCTCTGGTACCCTTTTGAGGCCTCGGTTCCCTTGATGTTTTCCTTTTTTCGAAGCTCCAAAAAGTGCCGATCGTTTCAAGGGAGACTAGCAGTGAATTGCACCTTGTTTTGTTTCAGGGGTGCCCGTTTTGGCTGGTTTCAAAATGGGGGGGGGGTCCTGGACCCCAAAAAAGAGAGACGCACATAGGTATGGGTCAAACTAACCAGGTTTCAGAATCCAAAATGACCAGGGTGCACTAAGAAAAGAAACAAGCACCCTGTAGAAGTTTGTAAGGCAGCTACCATTTCTTCGAGTGGTGTATAACTCACCCGAGATTTGAGCTCCGACTTTCACAGAATACTTTATCAAGTGAGGACTCTCTTGGCTCAAATCAAAGTTCCTTTTGGCTTTGGAAAAGGGAGCGATGGGAAGGTTATGGCCCATGGTCCTTCGTGCCCCAGCTTTGGATCGGCTGATTGTTTTCCAGGACCCCTGACAAGCTTTGATCCTTGGTGAAAACTGATCGATGCTGAATTTCACGGAAGCCCCTCGGTTGCTTAGGATCAGAGCCGAGTTTCTTCGGGCTTAGGAATTGGACGGACATTGCATGCCTTGAGTTCACAAACTCGGCAACTTCAGCAACCCAAAAGCTGGTCACTGTTCTTTGACTTCCAGGCTCTCTGGTTGCAAGTGGCCAGTGAGACCCCAAAGATTCTCTTGTGTTTGGCCCTTGGGGTTCAAATTCCATCAGCAATGTTTTTCTGACTGCTCATAACTTCAGGAAGACATGTGTATTGTGCTGCTGCTGTTTTTAAGAGAAAAACATAGTTTGCAATGAATTGATGTGGGTAGTGGTTTATTGGTGGTTTGGGGGTTGAACCCCAAACCACCAACTAACATGTTACAAGGACCTAAGCAATTGCCAGCATTGAAAGCATGGAACCCCAAAGGACATCGCCAGAGGAAGCCACGCTCTTCTTTGGGTTCCGGGTTTACTTGCAGGGCAGCAGTCCCTTACAAGCGGAGGCGGTGGCATTTTTTCCGGCAGCTTGCTCCAGGTGCTATTGCAGCCGCACCCGCGCGACGAACAGCATGTGTCAGGACAGGGTCGACTTCGACCAGCCGGCAGGCGGAGCGTTTTGGCCGGGTCGCCCTTCGGTGGTTTTGGCTGAGGAGTGAAAGGAGGATTGACCCTCCTGTCCGCAAACATCGAAGCCATTTTGAAGGGATTTTTGTCAGTCAGGTTCCATGTTAGTGGACAGGACGGTAAAACCCTTGCAGCTTTACCTCCTTTGGATTGCCTAGGGAAGTTGGTTTCGCGCACGTATTCCCTGGGAGCGTTCGGCTTGGCATCTCTTAGGTTTCGATCCTCAGGGCGTCCGAAGGAGGATCTGGGCCTGTCTCTTCATTGACTCTTCGGTGAACATCATTTAGGTCGAGATGCATGTCCACCAATTTTTATGTGGCTACTCTTGAAAGTCATAGTCAAACAACAAGTCCGGACAATTTCTGACCAATCCACTCCATCGGTTGTCCTTTTGCAACAGGACTTTTGCAAAGATACCTGCTTTGGCCATTTGAAGCATGTTCCACCAGACCAAAAGCTCGCTACTATTTGAGGGCCAACCTTCATGTCGACAGTGGGTCTGGAAGAAATTCAGTTGCAGGTCCAACATTGCAGCAACTGGCCATTGAAAAGGGCTTCCTAGCTTCCATAGAGCAACGTCGTCGGAAGCCGCTGACATCCGTCCCAACATGAGACCTGCTCCAGGTTGAGCAAAGCCAGGTTCACACCCATGGCTTGCTCTTGAGTCAAGGGCATGAGACATGGGATGACCCCAATTTGAACCCTCCAGCTGGTGGCTTCCTTCAAGGGGGGCCCAACAAACGGTTCATTCCCACCCTGACTCGGTCATTCCCAGCAGCCACTGACATCCGTCCGTCCCAGCCCATGACCGGGTACAGAAACATAACATGCGCTTCCCCTTGACTTGAGTCAAACGAGAAGGTCCATTTTCCTCCAATTTGCGCCAAGATCAAGTCCGAGCACTGAGAAAGATCAATGAGTTGAGGGGCCGTTGCTGGGAGAGGTGAGCTCTTCGTGCGGGGCTCCGAGTTTAGTTCTGAGCTGCGCTGCGACCAGGGCGAGCCTGGGAGCCCAGATCTGGAGATTGGGCACTGGAGGTAGGCCACATACCAATCACCAAAAACCCGGAGTCGTTTTGTTTTTGTTTGGAGTGCACCCGTTTCACCGTGTTTTTAAGGGAGACCAAAAGGACCAGCAGTTTTGGGGTCCCTCTCCATTTTGGCGCATACCCAAGCACGGGAGTGCACTGCTACAAGTTGAGAGGAAGGCATCCAGGATTCAACGCAACATGTTCCAGCCTTGTGGACATTGTGCCAGGCTCGGGGCCTCACCTACTCTCAGTTGCCAACAATAAATTTATACACTGTTGAAAGGAAGAAGAGGTTACCTATAATAGCGACGCAGAGCAACCCTGTCTACTGGTCCTAGTTGCCCACTTGTAGAATTGGAACCGTCTTCGGGACTGATTCTATGTTTGATGGGCCAAAAAGGGAGAGGCTCGGAATCCACTCAACTGGACACACTGCCACGGGAAAGGGGGGGGGGAGTGGGGGGCCCGTTCCAAAGAGCTTTGAGTCTGCGTGTGCCATAGATGGAGAAGGAAAGCAAAGTGAGAGCTTTCGTCGTTGTTTCTTCGGTTCCGCCTGGGCGACTGACTTCTCGCGGGCATTTTTTGAGTTACGTGTGGTTGTCTTTTTTTCTCAATCTTTTGACCCACGGAAATGCCACTTCGTCGTCTTTCCCACGGTTCCCTTAAAAGGTTGGATTCGGCATCAGGAAGGCAACGGGGCCACCGGTCCTGCACTCGCAAATGGACAATGAGATCAACCACTGAGATAGTCTTCCCAAGCAGAAGTTCGTTCCAGAGAAACTGTCCCCGAAGGCCTTGAGGCGTTGCTTGAGGTACCATGGCAGTGGGAAGCTTGTGGGCACCGAAGCGAGTCAGAATCTGGGCGCAGGGGGTTCCCTGTCCGGGCTGCAATGGGTTCGCCACCATCACGCGTTGCCGGGACCCATGATTTGCCGCCGGTTCAGACTTGCTTTTTGTTTTTGCCTTCTTGGTTTGCGCGTTTCCGGGGGGTGGCATGCATGATGACTACGGTCAGGACTTGTCAAAAGCCTGGCGAAAGAGGCAGCGTTGGGACTCTTGTGGCAAAGGGCGCCAGCGTTCGGCCCCCCTTCGTCGAGTTAGAGTCCTTCACCCTCTCGACGTTTAAAAGCAGCTGTGGGCTCGACCGGCTCCAAAAGTGTGGGCATCCCCCTTGAATACAACGCGGTCAACATTCCCGTGTCCTTGGCAGGTTCTGGCCAAGAAAAGGGTCCAGCTTGTTATTGTTTCGACACAGCCATCCACCATGCCGCCTTTGCCACGCGCCCAGCCGCGATGTTTGCCAAGCCGGTTGGGGGGTCATTCCTGCTAGGCCCTGTTACGTGACAGCCCGGGGGGCTCAGTTCAGCAATTTGGATCGGATGATCCTTCTGAAGGCGGGTCGGCACCGGGGGGAGTGTGGGGGGAGCTTTCTGAGCATTGCCATGGCCCTAAAAGTGGTTCCAGCCTCCTTTGAGTGCGCCAAACCCGTCCCAGGGTTCCGGTAAAGGACCGTGACCTGTTCTGCGCCTGTTTAGAAATGCGTTCCTTCTGGCATGGCGTTTTCGTGCGCGGGCATCCAGCACATTCTTTGACTGAGGCTTCAATCGAGGACCAAGAGACAAGGGTATAGACTAGGTTTCCAAATGTTTTTCTGTCTGCCAGGGTCTTTGGAGCAACAAACACATTATCTTTGTTCAGCCTGCCTTTCAGAGAGAGACGCGTTGCCTGAGTTTCAGTTGGGAGTAATCTCTTGCAGGCACAAATATTTGGTTCGTTCGGATCCTCATGAAACCAAAGGGAAGGATACCTTCATCTCGAAGCGGCTAAGCCAACCCGCCAATTCGAATAAAGGCTACACGACAGCAAGTGGATAAAGCTTGGCTCCTATATGGGCATGGCTTTTTAGATTGCACAAAGCACCAAGTAGGGTAAGGCGAACACAGAACTCCATGTTGGACTCAGGAATGGCTTGAGGCGAAACCCACAGCGAATCGACTTATTCATTTTGATTTGCAGATTAAATTTGCCACCCGGTCCATGTGTTCGAAGTGCGGTGAACACTTGCGTCATTTTTGTCATCTAAGATGGGTTCCACTACGCTCAGGCCTCTAACAGCTGGTATGTCGCAGCCAGCCATCCAACGACTGGTCAGCCACTGTTTCAAGGGCATCCAGTTTTCCGTCAAGCCAATACAGATCCGCAAAGTAGTGGTTGTACGCCAGTTGTCCAGAGCTGAACTTTCGTAGATACTTGCCCGAAGCCTTCTGACCGTTTGGTTTTGCAAAGGTGTCTACGTTTTGTCAAAGTTCCCGAAATGTTCCCCCCCCCGCCCCCCCCGCCCCCTAGCAAACATGGAAGTGCACAAGTCCGTTTCACCAACGGACTCAGTTCCATGTATACACTTCCATCTTTGCTTTTGGAGGGTTGACTGGTTGGCGTTAGGGGCACAAATGTGAGGGATTTGGACACAAGGAGCAACTGAGTCCAAGCACTAGACATCTCATTTCCAGCTCCTTCGGTTGCGCACCTTCGTTTCCCATTTGTCTTTTGTTTGGGGGAAGTTACTTTCTTTGAAGAGGCGTTTCCACACTTCTCGATTGAGGAGGAAGAAAGGACTTTCTTTGAGAAGTTGTTCTCTTCTCACGGCGGCCTTTTGTTGAACCGGATTCAATTCGGGGGTCGAGTTGAAGCAAAGCCCCCGTCAGACGGGCTCCACGGGCAGCACGAATCACAGCTGCGGCATGGCTGGGGGCCTTGGGGCCTTGAGACTCCCGCCATCGTCAGGAGGGAACCCCGGATTGGTACCTATCAGCGTGGCCAATCCTCAGCGTGGCCTGTACCATTTTGGAAAATGGCTGTGAGTCAAAACCAGGTCCAGGGTAATGTTGACCCTGGATGAATAAACGATCAATGAACGCCGTCATATGCTGAGGGTGTTCCCTCCAGTCGCCCAAAGAGGCAACCCCTGATTGGTTTGGAGTGGCCCTCGAAGGCCTCGAATTGGTTCCAAGCTCCCAACCAGTCCGAAGCTTTGACATTTTGTCTGAAATGAAGATAGTTGCGGCTCAGTGAGGGACGTCTTGTTTCGTGTCAGCTGGGGCATTCTTTGAGGGTTGAGAATTTAGAATGTCCTGATCGGGATGGGGGAGGCCGCCTTTTTTTTTTTTTACTTGAACCACTTGTTCAGTCGCAGCCGCTATGCGTTTTGTTTGTTTGGCGTGCCTCCAAATGGAACACCGACATGTCAAAGCTGTTCTTGTTACCTGTTCAGTTGGCAAGCTGTCTGAACGTTTGTAAAATAATGTGGTTTCATATAATAACTAGTTTAGTTGAGGCCCAAACAGTCTTGCCGCTCTTTCTGGCAAGTTGACTCAGCAGGTCAGTTTTTGTTTTTCTTTGGCCAGTGCCTGGAACCGAAATACACATCTGAAACTGGGGTGGCAACACATGGCCTAGTGACACCTTGTGCCGCATTCTTTTGTTGAAGAGATCTAGTTTTGACAACCCCCCCCCACTGTTCAAAACCCTGGGGTTGAACCAGCTGAACCAGCGCAAGCCTATTGCTTCAGAGCCCTTGCTCTCGGAATTCCTGGTCTTTTTACATTTTGAGGGCCATGTTAGTGGCGAACAACACATTTGGACAATGTTTGGCCAACGCACGCAAGAAGTGAGATGCCAAGAAGTGACTCTGCCACAAGGTAAACCTGTTGCTTCCTGGTCCTTTGGTGAAGTGGCTGTCCATCTTTCCAGTCAACTTGCAAATGGGCGACCACGCTGAGTGGTTCCTTGGATTCTGTGCAAACAACCCAAGAAACGGAGCCCTCAACCCATTGCTTCGACTGTTTGCCCTGACCTATTGTCAAGAGTGCGGCGCCTTGAGGCGCCGAAAACCCTACACGTGTGCATGGCAGTTCAGGGCGGGGAGAGATTGGTAGCCTACACTTGGCTTTGAGAGCACGTAGGGTGGACGCCCCCGATTCTCCACGGACTTGTGCAATCAAACCGGCACCCCCAAAAAAACTCCCCAAACTGAAGCCCCCAAGACGCCACCAAAGACAAGAACCAGAACTCTTTGTCCCCCGACGGCAACAGTGGGGGGTGCCGATCACGCTCAGCGCTCGGCTCGCTGAGATCAACGGGGGGCAGTACCCGCACTGGTCCTCCGCCTTGACGCCCCAAACCATTCAGCCCGATGCCGCTGCCCCAGCTCGCAGGTAGGGCTTATGCCCAAGCCCAGGGAAGGGGTTGAAGGGGATGTAGAACCGTGGCGCTTCTCATCAAAATAGGGCCCTAAAATGGTTGTCTGTTGGCTTTCAACGGACACTCATCACCTTTGAGGGTACACCATGAAGAAAAAGCCAAGAATTGGAGTAAATTCGGGGTAAAGAAGCTCTAAAACAAGGCTTAGCTTTCATAGTTCTGTGGTTTTGTCAGGGGGGGATTTATTGGAAAGAGATAGGAACATATGACATGTCGATGGAAAACTGAGTACACATGGGTGTCTGTTTTTTTTCTGAGGGTGCCTTTTTCGGTGCTATGGGGACCCCTGCCTGAGGACCTGCTTTTCTGCACACGCACATGATAAGCTTGGCAGTCGTGTTTCACAGTATCCCATTTGAGCTGGGCAAAAGCTCCGAGCTTTTCTGGGCAAAGCCGATGAGCAACCAAGGGCCAAGACTGAAGGTAGCAACCCAAAGAGGTCAATGACCACTGCAAATCCACATGCCCAACAAGGTCAACATGTTCAAAAGCTTTGCTCCATTGCTAACCTGAAGGGGGGGCCAGTGTAAATCGAGATCCCCACTGCCCCCCCCTTCCCCATCCAAAGCCGGTGATCATCGCGTTGGGCCAAAACCATTTTTTTCTGGATGTGCCTGCCTACCATTCCTGAATGGCAGACGCCTACATCGGCATCAGTGGTCAATGAGGCTACTGCGCAGCGACGTAATTAGTGGTCACAAGCTTCACGCACGGCTCGCGCGACAGTGTCAGGCTTCTTTATGCTCGCCGGCGAAGTTCTTCCGTCAGGGGACGACGTTGTCTCATGCTTCCGCATTCGCACACAGCCCGGCAGTCCCCAGGCCGCGTTTCCAAGAGGAGAGTATCTCTTCTCGGCCGGAATGCTTCGAATGCGGTTGCAGGGTAGAGTAAGCCACAATTGGCATTTGCTCAGCCACTTACATGAGTTCTTGCGAAGAGGGCCTTCCGCGGTTCGTGGGAGGGTAGCTCTTGGACCCAGCCAGCACCTCTTGGTGATCGCCCTTTATATGGAGCAAGACAAATATATAGGGAGTCCTTTTGATTGACGCACCACCTTTACATGGAGCAAGAAAAACATAGCGAATCCTTCCGAGGAACCCCTCCTTCCGTCAAGTCGGAGACAGTGACCAGCTCAAAGTCCACATCTCTCAGGCCATTCTGCCGGACCTTTGGGCAGCCACCTGGCTCATCACCAGTGTGCGCCCGGGCACCCCAGAGAGATCGTCTCTTCTGTCCCTATGTGTGTGTCAAATAAAATAGGGGGCCCCCAAAAGGCGGTGTTCCTTTTGTTTTTCTTTTAAGCCAACCCCCCCCCAAAAAAAAAGAAAGGTACCCACAAGCAAAGACAGACCCATTTTTTTCGTCTCGCTTTTGGGGCCCAAGATGAGTTTGGTTGCTAGGTGGTGTTTGTAGTTTGGAACTATCGGGAACCGTGTTGGCTTCATTTAGAATTCAACCTTTAACCTCCAACATCCTCCAACTTGCTGAAGACATGGATGTTCCCGCTTAGCTGGCTACATCTGCTACATGTTTGTTTGGCTCCCGTTTGCGGCTGGGATCCGGACCCCCCACCGCGGGGTTGGGTCCCTGCCCGAGCTCAATCCTCGGACATTTGGGGCAGTAGGCATCGTGGTGCCCAACTTTCCAGAGAATGGTATACGTCACCAACATGGAACCTGGTCAAAAGGCAAACATCCGCGAGGGATGTGTAGGTAGACCATGGTGTCATTGTCAACGATTATCATCATGGAGCTTTTGAGAGTCCAAAAGTATCATGTTCAGCCCAGCCCAGAAAATGTCCATGTTAATGACATCCTTCAGCTTCTCCCCTCAGAATCAAGCATCGTTACCAGTCCTCTTCACTGCGTAGCCAGTCACGGCATGAGTTTAACATAGAACTTCCAGGCCAACTCAGGCAGGTTCAATGTTTAGTGGTGCCTGCCTACGGCTCACAACAAAACATCAAAATGACCGCAACAAATGCACAGTCAGGCCTCCCGGGCCTCCCGGGCCCACCCAACCCCAAGTTGTTCAGGGGCAGGCAAAAAACCGCGTCAGCTTCCACGTTGACAGGTTCCTCACTCACACTCTTGCTGCACATGCGCCCTGCTGTAGGACACGGAAAGAGCCCAAATGGCTGGCAACACCTCAGGCCGACCCCATTCCACATGATGCCCTGCCAAACTCTTTGCCAGACTCAAGTCGCAGGACCGGACCTAAAGGGTGGCTTTGGAGGTTTGGCAAGGGGAGATCTTCGGCCTATGTATCGCCAAATCCGTGGGGTGTGTGTGTGTGTGTCAAACTAAGGCGCCGAACAAGAAAATAATTAATTCCAAACCCCACACTGCCCAAAGCCCAGCACCCATCACACCTGCGTGTTATTGTGTGTTGCACCTATTGAAATCAAGGCCCACCCCTGAACTTCACAACACCGCATTACAAGTACCGTCCTGATGCCGCAACACTGAGCTGAAGCATCCGAGTGCCGTTGCTTGCCGTCTCGGCGACACGCAGGCCCACAAGCTGTCGAACACACACGATTATGAGGATACACACTAAAATGCGCACACACACACACACACACCGTATGATGTAGGAAAAATCTAGCAGGCACATAAGGGTATAACGGGTACATAAGGGCATATATTCGGTGCACATACCAAACAAGACAAAGCACTGTAGTTGCATCCCTTGAATGGGAGCTTTGGTGTGACTCGTTTCCCATCAACCCGTCAAGATTGGGTGGGCTCGTGGGTGGAAAGCAAAGCGGCTGTAAAATGTTACCAGACTTGTGTGGAACCTGCCTGCCTTCTTGAGTGTTTGGGTTTCCTTCTGTTTTCCTTTTCTTCTGATGCAAAGTGAAGGTGCTTGGGATTTGTGTGGGTGCCTTTCTTGGCCACCAACGCTCATTGCTTGATCTCCGGTGATGTTGTCGACCATGTCGCCGTGGGAAGCAGAGGCTAAGTCGGACTGACACTTCTCGAGCTTTTGCGTTTTGCCCCCGAAAAAGCCAGTTGCCCCCAGGCACTCCTTCCCCAAAGTGTATACTGTGACTTGAGGGCTGGCCCTGCGCTTGAATCCCGCTTAAGGCGAACCTGGGACGTACCACATCTGCTACTGTGCCAACATCGTGGGCTCAGAGCTCAGCATAGCCGGGACCTACACCCCAGGGAGCCCTCGTGAAAAACATCTAGTTTGCTCTAAGAACCTGTGCTGGGGTGGGGTGGCCTCCCTAGCTGCCGCACATGCTCTGGTCATCAGAAAATCTGCGAAGTGACAACTGAGTCGTATGGCTCACTGGTATCAAGGGGTATTTCCCAACTGTGAAGTCCAGCTTGAGCCAGCGACACTTCCTCTGCAGGTTATATTTTGTCGGGGTCCTTCTGGCTAGCGAGGGCGAGCGAGCAGACATGTTGACTGGTGTCAGCGACTTCCATAGGGAGTAAGCTGCTTGTTCCCCACACCTGGCCACCTTTGGTGGGTTGGTGTTCACAATGGAAAAGTTCCACGAAAGAACGCTTGTACACATACTGTGCATGTGCACATGTCAAAGAATAGGGACCGTAAATTGTGATACCTCAAAAAGATACCCTCAAAAACAAACACCCACACACGAGTATGAATATACAGATATGCATGCTCATGTTCTGGTTTCAGGTTGGTTCGCCTGAATCTCATTGCCATACATTTTGCCAAAAGGACACCTTGCCCAAAACCATTCGACCTGAACCTGTTGGATTCTCTCCCAGTTTGGATTCTCCAATTTGCGGGAACCCAAAAGGCGATCACCTTGGTTTGATAAATGGCTGTGTCTATTCTTCAGGAACCCACAACAGCGCTTCAGGTTTCCTTTTGGTTTCCCTGTTGAAACCAGGACACCCCCAAAAAAGACACACCCAAATGCCCTTACACAACTTCAGGGCGGCACTGTTTTCATGACTTCCATTGCAGTCTTTCTAATTGGCTCCAGAAAGCTAGGGGTTCAATCCCCCCAAGCACTCAGTCAGGTAGGTCCCCCAGCTAGGTGCCCTTTGACCGTTTCTTTCTTGGGGAGTGTTCCCGTACTAAAATAGACTACAGAAAAAGGTCCCTTATTCTAACCTCTCTACTGGAGGACTTAGTCAGGTTCCTGCTGCCCAAACTCGCCATTTCGGACGGCTTCAGGTGGGGGGCTTTGCGTGGACAGCGGCACCACCTACTACGAGCGCTTCCAGCACGAGCTGGGCACCGTGAGGGTGGCAAGCTGAGTCGATTTTTGGGATGCGCACAGATTGACATGGAAGCCAGCAAAAACTCACCCATTTGTAGAGTTGTTTTTTGTGTGTTTTTTTTGGTGGGGGGGAGGGGAGGGGTCCCCGGCTCCTTTTTTCTGGTTTCATAGGTTTTATGCTTGTTTGGCTCGGACAATGTGTAGAGGAAACTTCTTTTGGGGAAGGGAGGCCCCCGTTTTCTCCCTTCCTGGGTTTAGGGGCTGAAACATGTTTTTCATGGCAAGCAAGAGGTTTGGACATTTTGGTTGGCCGAATCCACTCAGGAAGTGAGTTTCAGGGATATGGAAAAACATAATTAAGGATGCACGGAGTGTCATGCACTCCTGTTGACGAAGCGTGCGGGTAGGTTTCTTTATTGCTTGAGTAAAAGCAACCGAGAAGTTTAGTCACTTTTCTGGCTGCATCGTCAACTCAGCGTGTCAGCAAATAGTCGGCAATCGTTTTGTACAGACGTGCGGCACAAATACCAGCACTAACGGACTCCTTGAGAGGGTTGGTGTCCCTTTGAAAAAACCGCTATGTAGTAATTCAGTAACATCGGGGGACTCAACCAGGCGTCAAATTTGAGACGTGCCCACTCTTGAATCCACCGCGCCGCTTGGCGCGCGATACTCCGATCGACTCGGGCCAGTGAGTCATTGCTCCTGAGAATTGTGAAGCCACAAGGGCGCCCTTTATGCGGACAGATGACTTACAACTTGGAGCCAGATTTCGGCTTGGTTTCCTTTGCTTTTTGTAGGCCTTGAGTGAACCCCAAGAAAGCGACTGTGCCAACTTTGCCTGTGAGTCGCACGTTCTCTTTGATGCGGACCTGTTCCGTTTTGAGTTAAGCCGCCCTACCTTTGGCGTGTTTGGGCTACCGTTAGCTTTGACATCTTGAGTCCTGTGGCTTACCTCTTGGCAGACCGACTAAGCCGTCTGCACTAAGCTTGTTGTTGCTAGATGTTGTTTTGGACATGGAATCGCAGCGTAGGGCATCCATTTCTCATTCAGGTTGCTGAAGTATCACGCCAGTGTTTCCGTACACCCTCGACTTACCTGCTGAGTTGATTAGTGGCTTTTCTGTTCATGGCAGGAGTTCTTTACAATAGAGGCAACTACAAATCATATGTGTCATAGGAGCCAAGAGCCACTCCAGGCCAGCCACAAAAGCACACCAATAGTGTTTAGTCATACCGGGTGGCTTCTCTTGGAGGGGCTGCTTTGACACATGTGAACACAGTCAAGTGTTTGTTCCTGGCCTCTGCTTGCCAAGTTCCAGGTCCTGGTGGTAAAACTTTTCACGTTGACGCTGCCCCAAGCCTTCAGAAAGTTCAGCGAAGGCCCTATGTTTTGATCTCTTCGACATCCTTTTTGGAAGCTAAGCCCCTTTTCTGAGGGACGTTTGGCTCCTTGGGGCAGGTGGATTGTCAGGAAATTGCAGGTAGACCGAGCAACCCTTCCCGAGTTGAAAGCCGCAAATGAGCTTGTGATTCTTTCACGGGGTAACTGGCATTCGGGATGGTCTTGGAATTCACGCCAGGCAACAAGGTCCCCTGAAATTTTAGAAGCATCTAGAAATGTGTTCCTTTCTTTGACCTTTCGGCAGGGCGCTGAGCAACTCATAGGTTTGTCATGTCCCTTCGAACTCTTTAGCACCCAGAAGGCAACCCCAGGTTGGAATCCACAAATGATTTGATCGGTGATGTCCTGGCTTACAAGGTTCTTTGGATCCAAACAGCCAGCACTTCTGTTCCCAGGGGGCGTGGTTGGAAAGGGGGCGGGGGACTCAACCAATTTGGCGGTATGGACACAGAGTGAACCCATAGCAGGGATCCAAGGCGGAAGGCTGGCCCAAAACTAAACGCAAAACTCATGGTCAGCAAACACTGGCGTATTCACACAAGGAGGTAACGGTGTTGGACCTTTTCGGGTTCCTTGAACGGGCTTTCCCCAGCAGGTCCACAGGCCGCATTTCTTGAGTTTGGGATGCAATGGGTGGCACCTTTAAGAGGGAGAGCCCTCACATGCGCCTTCATGGAAGGTTGCTAAAACTACACCAATGCGTTTCCCCCACGAGCTCACCCATCTTTCACCCACCAATTTAAAGCCTTAAAAACGCAGTACCCTTCCACCCACTACTATGGCAGCTGATACATTGGTTGTTTCAGTAGGTGGCCCGAGCCGGTTTTATGGGGCTGAAGGCCTAACATTCAGCTTGGGTTTGAGGTGCTCAACGGGTGACACGTTTTCTTTGGCTTTTCACTGCCAAAGGCACCGCAAGCTTTGACACAGCCATACCAAGTGGCTGGTTTTGGACGCTCAAACGGGTTTCCGTTTGGCGTCACCATGCGCCATTGGGCTGAGGTCACGGGGTCCATCCTTGCGGTGCGCCAGGTGGGGTTACAGGGAAGCCGATTGAAGGAGAAGTTAAAGGGAAACTGCCCATGAAGTTTGCCCCCTTGTGTTTGGTGGGTTCCCAACTGAAAACAGTCAACCCCACAATAGGTGTTCTTTTCTACCGGGCTCACTGGGCAATGGGGAAACTCAATTGAGTGTTTTTTTGGGCGGGTTGGGGTTCGCACAGTGACACCAGACTTCAGCACCCCGATCAGTAGCTTGAAGAGGCGACATCTTGTCGTTTTTGCAGGGTAGGGCCAAATTTGGGAGAGCTAGCCCTTTAAACTGGAATGGGAGGCTTACTGGGAGATTTCCATTTGGGTTTTCATTCGCTTGGGGACTAAAGGAATTGGAACTGGGTGACCTTCCCCCCTCACCTCCTTGAGATGCCCTAGGACCTAGGAGGTCTCTGACCTGTCAATGAAATAACATCCACTCTAAGTGCTTACACACGGGTGAAAGTCGTTGGCAGCGTCTCTCCATGGTTCAGCATTCTGTTTTACTCATCCACATACAAAAATTGCGCCATCTACACTTCAGCCTTGTCACGCAAAATGAGTCCCCTTTTTTCTACCACATGAACCTATGACCATTTCTAACCATTTCGGAGCCCAACCTCCCAAGTCAAGCCAGAAGTTATGCCGTTTCAAGAACTCCGGCCTTTTGAAATTTGTTTGGTCAAAACCAGGCTAATGGTAAAACCAAACATGGCTTAACAACATCCACCCAACATCAAAATCCACCAAACATGGTTCACCCGAAAAGCAGGTTGCCTTTTTGTTCAACTCGGGTCATCGAATCCCTTGAAGCGGCTGCGCTGGCCGGCGAGGTGGGGATCACGCCGACCCATTGGAAGCCCAAGCTCCCAGCGGCGCCTTATGCTGCCGGGACCTCGGATAAGTCATCCGCGAGAAGTCCAGCTCCATTCTCCCGCCTGAAACTCGCTCCCTGTGTTCCGGGGCTCCGACTTGAGTCACTTTTGGGGGGTTGCTTGGACCATGTTAGTGGTAAATCAAAGTTCCTGGACTTGTATTGGCCTATCCACTTAAGTGAGGAGATACCCTGGTTTCAGACATCACCTCCTGAAGTTGCCAACGTGAAAGTTCCATACCTTGCGCGGCGATGTTGAAAAGGGACATATCGGGAGCCCTGATAAAGGCCGATTGCATGCTGGCTTTTGTGTTTTGTGAGGCTCGGTGCCCTCTTTTTACGTGCGTTTTTCAGTCCCATTTTGGAACTCCCCCGATTTGAAAAAGCATTAGATGGTACATGATTGCTCTGGTCTTTGTTGCTTGGATGAATCCTTGGGTCTTGTAGTGGTTTGCTGGTTCGTTTACATGTTGCTTTGATAAGAACGTTGGTCTTCGTTGAATACTGGCATTCGGTTTGACATTGGGTTTTGATAGCAGCCTTGGGATTTATATGGAGCCTTAATTGGAGGTTCACTGAACCCATCTTCAACAGAAAGCAACCCCAACAATGGTATCCTCATAGAATAATATGTACGCACGGCCTGGGGCCATCGGAACAGTGGCCATTATATACCCTTAGGAATTGTGCAAGGCGATATTTGCCGCCTTATGTGTGGAGGCATGCCGGGAAACAGTGCGCAGTACAAACCCCGGGGTGAAATACAAATGTTTGCCCATTGTTCACTATGGCGTTGTACCTGGCTGTGGGTTCTCGCCAGCCCGAGCCAGGTCGGAAACGGTGTCCTAGTGCTTTCCCTTGGAAGACATCCCTAAGAGGTTCCCAATGGGCATCCGTTTCCTGTAAGATGAATCGATTTTGCAACTTTTCGGGTTTTCAGGTGATCCTGTGGACACAAGCCTCACTTTGAGGGCTCCAACTTGTGAGTCCAAATCCTCTGATCCTCTGAGACCAAGCTGGATCATTCAGCTAGGTCAGTGTGGAAGTGGACGTGCTCACCACCTTCATGCCCCTTGGCTGGGTGGTTTTACGCAGGGTTCTAGGGGTTGATTCCCTATTCTCTTCAACCATGGTTCTTTTCGAGCGCCAAGGGTGGCTTTCTTCCTTTGGCCAGGGCAGAACCTCGTTTCCCACTTAGGGCACCATGCAGAAGACGTACCGCCATGTGCCCCAGGGTTTCGTATGCTTTATGTATCCAGTAGGTATAGTATACATACTCTTGTATAGAGATGTCTTTCTCTCTCTCTCTCTCTCTGTGTCTCTCTGTGTCTTGTATGCATGTGAATATATTATATGTATACACGTGATATGTTTGTGTATTTGGGCCTTGATATGTTGCTGGGGGCACCTACCGGGGGCACATGGCTGGGACCTTGAATCGATTTACAGCCTGTAGATACTTAGAGACTGTGGAAGGCGGCTCCACCGCTGCCACCACGGTGGTTTGACCACCCGTGCCCGCCATGCCCCTTTTGGTTTCCTTTAGAGGTCGGGATGGCCTGGACGAGTTGAACATATTGACCTGGCAGCGGAAGACGCTACTCTGCGTGCTGCAGGACTACTCAAAAAGGGGCTCTCTTTTCAACAATCTCCCCAGTTTTTTTATTTTTATTTTTGGCTAGACATCCAGGGATGCAATATGACAGCTGTGTGGCAGTTGCAACAGGCGGCAGGTTGGAAGTACCTACAGTTTTCATGACTCATCGACCAATAGGAGAGGTCACGCCATTCCCGTGGGCCTCGTGCCCTACACCAGTGGGACGGAGTCCGATGGCACGAGGGAGCGAGAGAGAGAAATAGTACTCGTGAGCAACAACCCTCATTGTTCAAGAGTACTGGGGACAACTTGCAGAGATCATTTTTCGACTGAGCGAACCTTTTTGGCATGGCCTTCATGCTCCATGTGTAGCCCGGAAAGTGATCCTTTTGAGGCCTGAGATTGGCCGCGCCCCATTCCCCTCAGAGACCTTCAGAGAGTCAATCGGTCCGATGGCCTGGACGACTGCGGCCAAGGAAGTACACATGCATTGCCACGACTCGCCCAGCGCCGGAAGGCTTCGTGCCTACCAAGCCACTTGGTAAAATCGGAGTTGTCATTTTCTACCACTATCAGTAAAAAGTGCTGACTCCCTGACTTCCTCGGCAAACAAGTGTGAGGCAAAGTGTTTGTTTTTCGGGGAGGGGTAGGTTCCTCTTGCATAACACGCGGCAAAAGGCAGCCCAGAGCTGTCGTTCGCTGCCGAGGGCAGACATCCTTGATTTGGAAAGCATGGCGGTAAATTCTGGCTGGACGTGGCTCCTCGAGCAGGGCCACGTCAAGAACGATTGCTTTTTTTCTTTTGGTTTTTACCCCTTTCTGGTTCTGGGGCATGTCACAAGTCAAACCAAAGGGAAAGATGAGTTCAAAAAAAAGGAAAACCGAGGCCATTTTGGGGCCCCCTCCACAAAAAAGGCCTGCCACCCAACTCCTTTTTCAGATCCTTTTCTCAACGGCAAAGCCTTGGACCCATTCCCCGTGAGGTCTGACTTGGAGAACTGCACTGTGGACCGACTCGACTGATTCGATTCGCCGAATCGAGGGAATTGTCACATGTCTGATTTTTAGTGGCCCATATATATATATATATACATATATATTTATGTGTGTGTGTGTGTGCGTGCGTGCGTGCGTGCGTGCGGTGTGTGTGTGTGTGATCGGTGTTGTGCCCGTGTTGGTGTGGTGTGGTATGTGGTGTGTGTGTGTGTGTTTGTGGTTGTGTGTGTGTTGTGTGTTGCATGGTGTGCGTGCTGGGGTGGTGTGGTATGTGGCGTGCTGCGTGCTGTGTGTGGTGTGTCGTGTGTTGCGTGGTGTGTGTGTGTGTGTGCGTGTGTGGTGTGTGTGTGTGTGTTGCGTGCGTGTTGGTGTGGTGTGGTGTGGTGTGCGTTGTGTGTGTGTGTGGTGTGTGTGTGTGTTGTGTGTGGTGGTGGTTGTGTGTGGGTGTTGTGTTTTCTGTGGTGTGTGTGTGTGTGGGTGTGTGTTGTGTGCTTGTTGGTGTGGTGCGGTGTGTGGTGTGTGTCGGTGTGGTGTGGTGTGGTGTTGTGTGTGTGTGTGTTGTGTCGTGTGTGTGTGTGTTGTGTGTGTGTTGTGTGTGTGTTGTGTGTGTGTGTGTTGTGTGTGTGCCTGTTGGTGTGGTGTCGTGTGTGGCGTGTTGTGTGTGGTGTGGTGTGGTGTGCGTTGTGTGTTTGTGTGTTGATGTATTGTGGTGAGTGGTGTGTTGTGTGTGGTGTGTGGTGTGTGGTGTATGTGTGTGTGTGTGGTGTGTGTGTGTGGTGTGTGGTGTGGTGTGTAGCGTGTTGAGTGTGGTGTGGTGTGTGTGTGTGTGTGTTTTTTTGTGTGTGTGTGTGTGTGGTGTGGTGTGTTGTGTGGTGTGTGGCGTTTTGTGTGTGGTGTGGTGTGGTGTGCGTTGTTTGTGTGTGTTGATGTAGTGTGGTGCGAGGTGCGTTGTGTGTGGTGTGGTGTGTTGTGTGGTGTGTGTTGGTGTTGTTTGTCGTGATTGATGTAGTATGGTGCGTGGTGTGTGGTGTGTGATGTGTGTTGGTGTGTGTTGGTGTGTGGTGTGTGGCGTGTTGTGTCTTGTGTGTGTGGGTGTATTGATGTAGTGTGGTGCATGGTGTGTTGTTTGTGTTGTGTGGTATTGATTGGTGTTGGGTGGTGCGTGGGGTGTTGTGTTTGGTGTGTGGTGTGTGATGGTTGTGCGTGTGTGCTGATGTACTGTGGTGCGTTGCGTGTCTTGTGTGTGTGTTGTGTGGTGTGTGGTGTGTGTTGGTGTTGTGTGTTGTTTGTGCTGTAGGGTTGTGCGTGGGTTGTGTGTGTGTGAGTGTGGTGTGTGTGTGGTGTGTGTGGTGTGTTGTGTGTGTGTGTGTGTGTTGGCGTGGTGTTGTGTGTAGTATGTTGTGTGTTGGCATGGTGTTGTGTGTCGTATGTTGTGTGTGGTGTGGTGTGTGGTGTGTCGTGTGGGGTGGCGTGGCGTGGCGTGGCGTGGTGTGGTGTGTGGTGTGGCGTGGCGTGGCGTGGTGTGGTGTGGTGCGGTGTGTGTGTGTGTGTGTTCATTGGTGGGTGTGCGTGTGCGTGTGCGTGTGCGTGTGCGTGTGCGTGGGCGTGTAGATGTGCGTGTGCGTGTGCGTGTGCGTGTGCGTGCGCGTGCGCGTGCGCGTGCGTGCGTGCGTGCGTGCGTGCGTGCGTGCGTGCGTGTGTGTATGTGTGTGTGTGTGTGTGTGTGTTGGTGTGGCGTTGCGTGGCGTGGCGTGGCGTCGCGTGGGGTGGTGTGGTGTGGTGTGTGATGTGTGTTGGTGTGTGTTGGTGTGTGTTGGTGTGTGTTGGTGTTGGGTAGTGGTGTGTTGTGTGCGTGGAGTGTTGTGACATGTGTGTTCTTTGTGTGTTGTAATTTCTGTGTTGTGTGCATTGTAGTCCAAAAAGCCCACATCATTCTTAGAGGAACCTCCTTTTGGGAAATGAACCCCCTTGTTGGGGTTTCTTACGTTGGTTAGTAAGGAGTAGTCTTGCAGTTGCTTCGCTTGTACCTTGGGAATCCGAAGGTCCGACCTTAGACCTGCCAACGAGGCAGCATTTTTTGCTGCATTATTTATGGCGAGCTCACCGATTGGGGCCTGCACCCCTCAAGGTTTCACTCGGACTTCGCAGCGGGGGTGGGGACAAACAAACGCAGGAAATGTTCAGGTACAGCTTGGCCAACTTCATGACACAGTTCCTCAATTTTGGTTTAGTCATCCGCCGATAGAGAAAAGTCAGCCAGGTGAGTCCTCTTTCCAACAGTTCCTGCAGTACGTTCCGGGCCCGAAACCCTCGTCAGCTGCCGTTTGGGGGCTCGTCCCAGCAGGAGGTACCGGGACCCCTTCTCACTCTGGACAGGGTCACTTCCGCCCTCTGAGGCGGGCAGGTACCTATTTGCTGGGTATGTTTTTAGAGAACCCTTTTTGGGAGGCTGCGACGAAACCTAGGACCTACCATTGAGAGGTCTCTGGACCTTTCAATGGAGGCCAACCAAGCGCATGGCCATCCGCAGCGCAGGACATCGATCTCCTCACGGACCGCCAGAAGTTCTTCCCCCGGTGCTGGGGCATTGGCACCACCGTGGAGACGGCGGGGGGCGGGGGGCGGGTGGGAAGGGGAAGGAGGGAGGAGCATGGACTTGGCTATTTTATGGATGACAACCCGGAAAGGTGGACACACACTGGGCATTATGCAGGGGGAGGATTCCGAATCACCCCAGAGCTTTCAGCTGTTGAGGCAACAATGCCCTAACAGAAGGTGGCTATGACATAGACCCTGAGTGTCCATCATACCGCAGGAGGGTTGTGGAGGGGGGGGCGAAAAAAGGGGGGTGAATGAGGTCGGTTTGGGTTTGGACCATTTTAGTGGTAAACAGACGTTTTTCGGGCCAATCCGCTCAAGGCTGTAAAGAACAAGGGTAGACTAGTAGGTAGGCGTACCTGTGGAGTAGCTACAGTGGCTATGGGTAGATGCCTGCTAGAGGAACTTCTGAACATGCGCATGATGGCCAGTTTCATGGGAGTCTCCAGGCTTCCCAAAGGAAAGTTTCGACCAAAAACACTCTGCCCTTCTCCTTTTCGACTCTCTACGAAACGCGCAGGTGACAGAGATGGGGCCCAACGTCGTGTGCCTTGGCCGCACCCGACTGCCAGCTTGCGGATAAAACATTGGCGAAGCAATGGCAAACCCTCCTCTTTTGCTCAGAAACCGATGTCCAGATGTTTGTTTTGAGGTGTTTCAGGGGTTTGTTTCAAACTTTGGAACCTGAGAGTCTGAGAGCCCGAGCGCCAGATTGGCGGTTGCTTCCTCCCAACCAAGTGGGAACATGAGGCAGCCACAAGTTTGTTCTTTTCGGCTGGGTACATTCGTTACAAGTTTGTATGTGAACCTTTGCCAGGGGAGGTGATTAGTGCCAAATGAAACGGCCTCGTTCTACGTCTACGTTTTGCGAGCCCTGGCAAAACGAGCGAGAACCCAAGATGTAAGTCCTTACTTGCAGAACTGTGCACATACTTGCCTTGGTGATTTCAACATCACCTGTTGGCACTTGGACTGAGTTTCCTGTGATGTTTTCAGGGGACAAATCACGTCACCTCTGCAAGGTGAAATTCGGTTAATTTAGGTGTTCTTTTCAAGGGCGAATCTTGTGCCAATCAGGATATTGGTTGGGGCTTTGGAACTTGCAAGCAAGTTCGGAATCTTGTTGGAAAACGGAAACTTCGGATTTTGGGGCGGACCCTGTCAGAGGAGCTATTATAGATCATTTACAAGTGGAACCACCCCTGAAAAATGTACGGTCCAGATTGCTCCGAAGTTAGCATCAGTGGTCACGGGAAGTAGCTACATGTCACGTTTCGGAGCGAGGGAATTGCAGGTATATTCTCTTGGTGTTTAGCCACACTTTTCGGAAAGGCCAGTAGGGAGACAAGAGAGGAGCAAAGGGAAACACGCTGCAAATTTCCCAATTAAACCTGTGTATACGCATTGTGGCGCCCTTTTTCACGAAGGGGTCCTTCAAGTAGGTCCTGCATCCCAGGCATGTGCCGACACATGTTCCGCAGAGCAATTTGGACACCGCGGTGAACATGCATGCACCGAGCTCAGGATATGTCATGGATAGAAACTACATCCCCTTGTTACTCCATGCAAAAGAAGGGGTGTGCAAGGAATAAGTTCCTCCCTCCGGGCGTGCTCCGGTTCGGTGAGTGAGCGGCTTGATTGGTCTGTGATTTCACGAGGGCAACTTACCACCCAACCTATTGGTTGGGCAGTTTCCACATCGTGAGACAGCTATTTTCGTTGCATTGGAACCTGTTTCAGAACAACACAAGTGAGTTGGAAGCTCAGAGTCAGACTGCTTTTTCTCCCTAGTGCCTGTGATCAGCTACCCCCTGAACGTCTTGGCCACTGGCATTGCCAAGTTGGAAATCTTCGCCGAATCCAAGCTGTTTCACTGCCAATCAGCGCCCATGGCCAAATTTGAGGCCTATGACAGCCGCAGCCATAGAGCTTGCTGTTCGAAGTAGGTGGTTGCCAAAAAACACATAAAATCTAAATGTTATTGTTTGGGGTCACTGGATGGGGTAATTAGTGGACACAGCCTGGAGTGCATATTGTGACTACTTAGCAGTTGCATACAAGACATTTTGCGCTACACTGGTTTAGAGCCATAGCAAAGGGAGCAGCCTAAAAGTGACCATGAAGTGGCTAATCGAACCTGGGGGTAATGGTCATTTGGGATCTGAAGCAGTATTGGATATGTCAGAGACAGCATTTTCCTGCCATAGATGGCCATGCGTGAATGGTATGTCACCCAAAACGCAGGAACATGTCCTGGGGAAGAGATCGAATTCCTTGGGCTCTGGACCCATGTCCTGTGACACCCAATCAACCCCGGTTGATGGAACACACTGCTGCGGGTTAAGAAGGAATTCCAGAAAACCTACAATTTTAGAAAGCTTCCTCATTTAAGGACCCACCCTCCTTTTGTGGTTCCATGCGAATTTGGTGCAAGTCCGTGTCAAAAAGGACAGCTCCCGGGAAAATCACCTCATAATGCTGCCTGAGGTTTGGTGTTTCCCGCGCGATCTGTGCTCCAATGACCGCTGTGCCCACGCCTCGGCACGGGGAAAGATGGGCCGGAACAGATTTTGAATGGTTTCCTGTGCACTGACCTTGCTTTGGGATGGGCTGATTGGTTCAGGGGTACTTTAGACAGGAGAAGTCGTTCCCTTCAACCCCCCTGGGGGTGAAACGAGCCCACCCATGAAGACCATCCTTTTCTGCCTCTCGGGGCCCCAACATGTCCAGGTTCTTTGGACAAGTGAGTCAATGTGTCAGTACACGCTCGTGTGTTGGCTTTTGTGCATTGAACTGCCCAACAAATTTCATATAAATCGTTGAATTGCTCAATAGGGGGCTGTTCTGAGCCAGAAATGTACACCAGCGGGTAGGACAGTGGTTTCTATCTATCGGGCTTTCCGTGGATGCGCTTGTTGCATCCGCAATTCACAGAGACCTTTTCGAAGTCCCTGAATTTCTCAGGGTCCCTTGAGAAATAAAGACAGGCCATTAAATTACCTGCTGATTTGGTATGTTGTTTTGCAAAGGTGATTGGATGTATTTGTCCCAAACGTTCCTTGGGGCACTTGGCTGCTCTTTGGCGCTTCTTTGGCATTGCCCATCTGAGCTTGCGGTTTGCAACCGGAGAGGTTCACTGACAGCCGATTTGACATATCAGGCACTTCTTGGGAAGGGATGTGGGTATGTCTTTGATTGCATTGAAGGTAGCCTTGTCAGGGTAGTTGACTAGTTGACTGAAGGCGGCCCAAAAGTAACCCGCAAACTCCGCAGACAAGCGGTTTGGTTAAAATATGTTAAAATCATTATGATCAATTTGGAGGGACATGAGGACTCAACCACAAAAACCGTTGGTCCTTCCTCATCTGTCCATGTCCACGACAGCCGTGGCTAGCGTGAGGGTTTCACTGGCCCCACGCCACCTTCAGAAGAAAGTATGGTGTGATTTGAGGGCTGCTTTGGTTTTGGTTTCTAAAGGGAAACCCCAGGAACCCCACGATATATGGTGATTTTGTTGGGGTCCCTGAAAGTGTTTTTTGGGGCAGCTTCAATTTGGGTTAGCAGTCCCCATTGCCCAGTGGCACCCTTTAAATAAAGGGTGTCCAACTTGAAAACCAATCAAAGAGTTGATCATGGAGATCTGGGCCTCGTAGTGGAAGCCTTCAAAATTATATCAGGTGCCCTTTGCTCCTCACCCCTGTGCTTAGCAGTGGAAACTCCCGCAGGTTTCGGGACCTTCCCAGGTGATGCCGGCCAACAACGAGGGCCTCTTGGTGCCTTTGACCGGTGGCCTCGTCTCCTACTCCAATGCTTCCGCCTCAGCTCTCCAAAAGAGAAGGGAACCCTCCGCATGGAGGGCCACTGTAAAAAAGCAAGAATCCCAGGAATATCGGGACATCCTCAATGAAGTCTGACTCATAGACGACAGACAAGTTCCAAGCGGTAGATCCCTTCTCAGGTTCACACCTTGAAGCTTTGGAAAGCTGTTGCCGCTTTTCGAAGAGAAGTAAGCCACTGGATTCCGCGATCCAATACAGCTGGCTCCAGAGCCCTCATGTCCAGTTGGAGGTGGGGATCCTACGGGTGCAAGCACCGGCAACGCTCGGTTCCGGGGCGCCGGGGATGGCGGTCCTTTCTGTTCGCCACTTTGGGACCGGCCGAAACTTTTGGGGTTCAGCTTAGGGAGCAAGTTGGAAACGCGACTTGTCTGAACTGCGATCTTGGACAGAGACAACTTGATCGCTATTGGGTTGGATCTTGAGACTTTAGCTTTTTGGGAAATCCAGGGGGCTGTCCATCAAACCCACAAAGAGTTAAGCTTTTTGCAGAGGGGTCAACTCGCAACCAAGACATTGGCACCTCAACAGAAAGCTTGTTGACTGATGCCAGCATGGCGCCATGGCTCCAATCAATTCGAATCGGGTGGCGTCAACTTGCACAAAACCAATTGCGGCTTTAGATGCAGACTTACGTGACTTTGCACTTGGTATGGATCGCATTGGATCACAATCTAAATAGAGATGTTGTTCTCTAGGTTGGGGCCAAAGCTGAGGTTGGACTGGTGCCTGTTTCCGGTTTCCACAGGTGTCCCGCGATGCTTTTGCAAATTCGTGGTGAGCCCTTCAGCGTGCATTGCATAGTCTCCCACGAATGAATTCCAATGAGCTTGAGTGCACATCTCTTGGAGATGGCCATTCTAGTGGCAAACAACACGTTTGGAAACCACTCAGGAAAGTAAGATAGGAACGACAAGTGTGGGCTTTTGCTGACCACGGAACCGTGAGCGCCCAACACCCGCGGCTGTTTTACCCGGTTCTACTACCTGGTTTGGCTGGGGAAATGATAAACCCCATTCTTGCGTGCAGTATTTGTTTCACACCGTTGACATGTTCCAGCCAAGGCCGCTCAGGTGAGGGAACTGGATTGCAAAGCCCATAGAGGTCCGTCTTTTTTGAGGGTACTGAATTTGGTGGTTTATAATGAAATCAAAAGCACACCCAAGGATCTGTCTTTTTTTCTGGGTTTTGAATGAAACCAAAAGCAAAGCCACCATTCCTTTTTGTGGGGCCATTTTTTAAATTGTGTTTTTCTCCGTTTTGTTTTTTTGTAAGTTTGTTTTTAGTCTTTCAGGGTGGCTTTTTTCGGCTTTTTTTGGGGGAAGGGGCGGCTCCCCTTGGCTCCAACGGCTGAGAACTGGGCCGCCACGGTGGCGACGCCCTTCTCGCTGCGTTTGCCGTTGGCCAGCGACTTTGACCTCGGCCCGGAACCCTGGAACCCCGGAACGGCGATCTAGATCTTGTCTATACACATATTATATATATAGATGTATGTATTTATTTATGTATTTGTTTATTTATTTATTTATTTATGTATTTATTTATGTATTTGTTTATGTATGTATTTGTTTATGTATTTATTTGTTTATTTATTTGTTTGTTTGTTTGTTTTTTTAGTTATTTGTATATGATATATATATATATACATGGTCACCGCCCCCCCAGGGCCACCCTGTCTACTCTTTGCACAGAAGAGATTTATATGCGATGTATATGCATCTACACATGTAAATGTATATGCAGATGTGCGTGCACGTGTGCGTGCTTGTGCATTTAGTTAGTTAGTTAGTTAGTTAGTTTGCTCGTTAGTTAGTGAAGTTACGCATGTGTATATGTTTTTCCCATGTTGAGTTATGTCTATTTCATTTTTATTTTATTTTTAATGTGCTTGCCTGCTTGCTCGCTGGCTCGCTTGCTCGCTTGCTCGCTTACCTACGTACCTACTTATCTACTTACCTACTTGCGAGCTTAATTGCTAGCTTGCATACTTACATACTTGCTTGTTCCTTTATTAAGTTGTTAATTTGTGTGTTTACTCCTGCATCAGTTTTATTTGTTTATGTGCGTATTCATTTATTGCTGTTTATTTGTGAGCGGCTATTTATATGATATGTATGTACACGCCCCCGCTGCTATGTGGCTTCCATCTCTAGGGTGCTTGTTTGGTGGTGCCGCCAAACAAGGATGTCCTGAGTCTATCAAGGTCACTGTGTCAAAGCATCGTACATTGATAGCTTGAAACAAAATAAGTGCATCAGTTTTTGTTTTGAAATACTCATGCCCTTGTAATATACACACATGTATGTACACATATATATATATATATATATACACATTTGTATTCTGCCAGGCGACGCCAGCACGATCGAGTGATCCTGTGGGATGGACGCATCTTGCTTTCTATTATTTTTTTTGCTGGGCTTTTCCGCCTCTGCAAAGCAGTCTCCCATGTCGCCATAGATTTCTGCACTGACCGGGCACAGAGCTCCTGAATGCTGAGGATTCGATCCCATTTAGCCGGGCAAAATGGGGTTGCCCAAAAACCTCACTGCCTGACTGGACTTTGGTCACTTTTTGGGTTGGGGCCATTTTAGTGAAAAACTGACGAGTTTGGTTACCCTGTTTTGTGGCCAATCCACGGAAGTGAGAAACAGGGGACTTCCCATGTTTGCGAGTCAAGGTAAAAAAAATAGAACATCGACCCATGTGTAGAAATTTGCCCTTATCTACAGGAGCTTTGCCCGCAAAAGCGTGGTCTTCTGCAACATGTTTGGTCAAGGTTCCCCGACTGCTGCATCCAACAAATCACCTGATTCACAAGTTGTTTTTGTTGAAATCCGGTACATGCGATACGGCCAAAAGTCCGTATCCGTCCGCATCCTTTTGGCAACCCCGGTGCCAAAGTTTGCAAGTGACGCCATATTCCAGGATCGGAGGTTTTTTTTGGCCACAAAATCCAAGGGTTTTGTATTACACCCTGGGAATACACCTGTGTATTGACCCCACCGTGTTGTTTTGAACCATTCTGGGTCATTTCCCAATGTAATCCCAGGGTGTAATACCAACACCCTCAGACAAAAAGCCATACCTCCCAAATCGTCAGGCGACGAGTGGGCGCGCCTGAAGATCATCACTCACGACAGCCTATCGCTCGGCATGCCGAACCGTCGTCAGCGACCTTGAGCGGGGCATTCCTGGATTTCCATGGGGGTTCCGGTCCTTGGGTCCCCTTTCAAAGTCAACCATTAAACAAGGGTGCCCACCTCTGGTAGACAGGCGTGGCTCTGTCAGGAAGATTTCTTTGTTCCAGAGGAACCATAGCTGACAAAATGCCTAGGTATATGAATCAGATTCAAGCATATTCCTAAGTTCCGCTCGAACAAACAGTTGAAGGTCGAAACAATATAATCAAGTGCCTTATGCTGGTGACATTTCCTCACTTTGTTGGCAGCATGGGTGAAATCGGTACTTGTTGTGGCTTGACCTACTTCCTGAACCGGTCAGAGGTTTGTCTTCCGACAAATCTTCAAGAATATTTCTGCACGAGAATCTGAAACAGGGGTCAATGAAAGACCCTGTTCACAAGTCTCTGCCGTTCAAAGGGCAATCCTTGCTGTTTTTTGCCTGGTTGATGCACGTAAGGGTTCACAGTGGAACAGGGAACTCCTTGTCCTCTAGACACTGCCGGGGCCATGCGGGAAAGACCGGAGACAACCATTCTCCTCTCGGTCACAACGGTCGCATGAGATTCCTTTTTTCTTTCATTTTTTTCTTTTTTTTTGGGGGGGTAGTTATCCTTCTCCAGGTTGGTTCAATTGGAAACCAAAAGGAAACCATTTCGAAGCCCGTCCTTAAGGTGCTTGCGACACCACCCAGCTGCATCGATCTGCCCGCGCCTTTGGGCACCGCTACTGGCCTTGGGCGGATCGATCGGGGAATGCCCGAAGCGGATACTTCCCGTTTGGGGCGATTTAAGCATCACCCCTTGGCCCACTTGAAGAGTTGCGTTTTAGTGCGGTGTTCAAGTTGTGCTTTTGGTGGGGGTGTGAAACCACCTTGCCGCGAAACTTGCGGCAAACAATGGGCAGCCTTTCCTTTCAGGTGATTCAGAACATCGCCTCCTGGTTGCCATGAAGGGAGTTTTCATTTCGGGGTCATGTTCCAGGAGAAACTCACTCCCTGGATTCCTGGACTTTACACCTTTGGAGAATATAATTTGGGTGATAAATAGAAAGTTCATGGCTTTTTGGCCAAGCCAGGACGTGAGAAACTTCGGGAGTGGAGAAGGACCCCACAATTTGCAAATCAGCTGCTCAAAGGCTTTTTTTTTTTGCGGCCTCAGGTTGTGTGCCTTTGTTTTTTTTTGGGTTTGGAGTGAAGACACGAGTTCAGCTTTTCAACGCATGGCAAATGTGGGCTTTGGGCCAGCTTCCATGATATCAGCGGGAATCCCCTTAAACGTGAGGAGAAGTTGTCATGGGAGACAATTTCTGGTGTAAATTCGGTTTCAGGGGCCATCTTGACTGCTATTGGGTTGGATCTTTAGACTTTAACGTTTTGGGAAACAACGGTGTTTTCCACTAAACCATCAGAAAGTTAACCTTTTTTTTTGTAGGGGATCAACAGCAACCGAGCTTCGGAAGCGCTTCTTCAACTTGAAGTCAAAGAGTGGCCGGTGATACTTCTAGAGTTGGATGTCCCCAGCGCGTGTATGTCTCATTTAAAAATAGCACAATATTTCTTGCGGTTCATTTCCCAACTCTGAAAAACCAGCCGCTTCCCTATCAGGCCTTTGGTGGTTCCTTCTCAAAACCCCGCGATTTCCAAGGGCGCAGGGCAGAACCTGGGAACCACCCAGCGTTGCGCGCTGGCGAGAACCTTGGAAGTATGGAGGTGTTCAGCGAAAGAACTCACTCAAAGGAACAGCCATATTTTCTTGGAGTACACCAGCCTTTCATGTGATTCCCGAATTTTCAGGTTCAGGTATCCTCCGTTGGTCCTTCCTGTAAAAGGGAACTATCGCAACGGATTATGCTCATCCCCCTGACCCCAGTTGCGGAGCCTTGGCTCGCGATTTGTCCGGCACTTACCCTTGGCCTAGCAAAGTGCTACCAAAACAATCTATGTGTTCAACATGTTGGCTTTCAACCCTAGCCACACATCTTCAGTCCATGTTCTTTTGGGCAAGAGTGGTTTTGCAAAGCGGGGTGAAAACCCGGCGTTGGGGCAGGCTTTCCGTTGCCCTCCGCAGCTTGAGAGTGGAGAAAGGCTGACCAGGAGAACGCAAACCAACGACCTGGCCTGGGCTTTGCTTCCAGCGGAACTTACCGCGAAGCATCAAATTGAGCAGCATGCTGACGAGTGGCCGGCGAGAGTTCAGTTCAATCGCGGCGGCTTCACCAGAGCGCACTGAGTCCTCATCCTCGGAGGAGTGAGGCCCCGATGCGGCAGGATCCTCTTTCACATGCAAGTTGCAACTCACCGGGAAAGATGAACTGCAGTTCTGCTTGGCTTTGTGCCTTTCTGCGTGAAACTTGTGGAAATGTTCTTGTTCCGCCGGGTCAAGCGTTCTCAAAGACCAGTGACCAGCCCCATGCAAGGTCGGAAGACATTTTTTTGTATGCTGAAGGCATAGGCATGGGCCAAGAGCTTTTCATTGAAGGGAGGCCCTGCTCAAACTTTAGTATGTATGTCAGTCCATGTCCATGAACATATCTCTGTGTAGACTAATTTCATTCCAGGTTTGACTTTGCGTCAGCTGGCGTGGTGTTTACATTCAACCTGCGGATGGACAAAATCCCGCACCAGCTGGAATGGATAGCGTCCAACCATGGGTCACATGTCCCTTCAACGCCGGTTCAAACGTCGATTGGCGTGTGACTCATGTTCCTCTTAAGGCAACGGAACTTCAGGTGATGGGCATCACCTGCCTCGAGAGCGGGGCCGGGGCCCTTTCGGGGGAAAATCGTGGCGGACCTCCATTCGTGCCCAGCTTTCCACGGTTGTGTTTTCCCCTGGATTCATTATTTTGACGGTTTCTGGGGGTTATCAAGGTCAGACAATTGTGGTTGTTTCCCTTTAACCCATCACTTAGGGGGTCACTTTGATCATGGTAAAATAATGAGGCCAGTTCTTTTTGCGCGGGGGGTCGGCGGGGGGGGGGGAGTCTTCTTGTATTAGGAGGGCACTTGACTTCTGTTTCTGCCCCGACACGGGTGACCGATCCCGGAGCAGGGCGTCCGGAACCTGAGATTCCGAATTAAATGCGTGTGAGACAAGCCCAACATGTGCCGTGATTGTTTTGTTTTTGTTTTTGTTTCTTCCTTTTTTCTTTAAGAAAAGCAAGAAAAAGAAACATGTTGCTCACCGCTCACCAAGGGCCAAGCTTCGGAATTCGGACATGGTAATGGTCATCAACTCGTTCTTTCACCTTGGTGGCTTCAAGCTGCTTTTGGTTGCATCAATCTCGGACTTTGTGGGGACAAGTCATGTGTTGAACACACGGGCAAGCGTTGGGCGAGGAGCAACTCCCAGGCTTCCCAGCGAATTTCTGTGACTGGGCCATCGGAATCAGAGGAATTCCGCGAACCGAATCTGTTTTGAGGTTTCAAAGTTCTATATTTGCGATCATAGTCCGCGATCACCTTTCCAAAAGCATAAGACTTCCATCTAGGAACTTCCCTGAGGCTCAAACCGAGGCAAGTGACAACCCCCGAAACCAAGGCTTCACGCCTCATTGATCCCCAGGCTTTGAACTCGGTGTCTCGTGGCTGACCACCCAACCCCCAAAAAAAAAGAAAGAAGAGGGATAAATAAGCCGAAAAGGGGGTTGGAATCAGCGGGTTCCGATCGCCAACACCAAAGGACATTAGAGCCCATTTCAGGGCTGCCCTAGGCCGAACTTGTGGCCAACAGGCGGATTTCACGTTGAGAGGGTTTTTCGGGGGCTTTTGGGACTTGAGGGTTGTGTTTCAGGGCCCCTAGAAATATCAATCAAAGATTTGATGTGGGCCACACCCCAAAGGAGTTTGAAGAGGTGTGTGTGGTTCATGGTTTGTGGCTTGCGCCTGACAGTTTGAGGAGCTGGATGGTCCATGTGGCTTGTTCCCCCCCCCCACCATTTGAGGGCTTCAGTCGAAGGCTCGCACCTCCCAGGTGGGAAAGTGCGAGCCTGCGCCCACCTCCACCCTCTCCTCGGGCTCCTGGGGCTCCGGCAGGGAGCTGATGTGGAGCGGCACCTTGTCCGAAGGCGGAGCCCGAGCAAATGGCGGAGCCCGGGCTCCGACCCAGAGATGTTTTGGAGGGCCACTGCCAGCATATTTACGATGTTTGTTTTGGTTGGGCGGGGGCGGGAACCTGATGAAAAATCCACCTCCAAGAAAAGGCGGTGCCCATTTTTGTGCTAGCCTCAAATCTGAAAGAGCCCGGAGGGGGGCGGGAAGCAGGACCACGAAGAATTTGGGTTTGAAGCCTTAAAAGCTGTATGGCCGTGATCCTGTTGTTTCTCTTGCCAGCGCATGGCTGCATGAACGCCGCACATCCAGTTTCAACAAAAGGTGAAAAGCTGAAAGCCCAAGGACGCATGTACAGCAACATGTCCTCCATAGCGTGTTTTGTTTGGTTCATGAGGGGAGAAACGTTAGGAGGGTCTGACAGGCATCTCTGCAAAGTACGGCCATCCGTATGGCAAAGTGGCTTTGGATGTTCCTTGGAAAGGTGTGGTTAGGCGAAGTATGTGGAAACCTGCAGTACGGTGTTCTAGTTTTTGCCCCAGAGCATGGTGCGCTAAAGGCCCTCAGACATCAGATGGATACCTGAGGCAGGTGGGCGCTGGTAGCATTTGCCAGTGAAAGCTCCATAGGGTACCCATTGGACCCTTTGAGAAGCCAGAGCAGCGGCAATCCAGAGTCCGTGAATATCCCTGGAGAGAAATCCGTCGAAGGCTCCCCAAAATCTCGGCAATGTGCACCCGCCTTTCCAAGGTATTGCTGTCAACAGGGCCGGAGCCTTACTTGGTCCACGACACAGCCTGGGTAGACGACAAACCTGGTGCGGAACACTAGGAGGAGGTCAAGAAGCCTTTCTGGATCATGGTTTTGGGTAATGTGTGACCCCGGACCCCTCAAAAGTATGGACATCTCTTCATCAGCCAAGGGATTGAATTAGTTTTGGGTGTCCAGGCCCAGACCGGTTACCTTTTGGGGGCTGAAGGCTTGGAGAAGGCCGCTCGGCGCGGCAATGCCAAGGCCGACACGTTCCACGTCTGCTACTGTGACCGTCACTATGCCGGACACTTAGCGAAAGAGCGTCGCCACAAATCTGAGCGGCAAACACGGAACTTGACCAGGGTTCTGGAAGATAATTTTCCACTAGCAGCCCGTCCATACCTGACAAAAGAACACTTGATAACAGAACCAAGCTTAGACCCAAGTTGGAGCCGCTATTCGCCATATTAGTCATATTCCAACCCCCCGATTTGAGTGAAGCCCTGTGAAGCCAACCACAGATGCTAGTTCCTTGATGTAAACTTTAACTTGTTGAGACAAATGTGTCTTTCTCACTCACCGTGGGTTCGAGATTTTAGCGCTTTCTGTGGTTTCGGTGTTCCACCCGGGTTCGACCACTAGCTGCACTTTTCTGGTGTAACCAGCAGAACGTTTGTTTGTCCACAGTTGGCAGTCGCTTAGGTTTGTTGAGCGGTCAGATCACGTTGGCATACCTGAAATTGCTGCCAGCAAGAGTAGGACTCCTCAAGAGTGTTGGTCCTGTGTTGTCTTAGAACCCAGCCCAATGAACAGATTCTTGTTTAATCAGCACCATTGGGTTGGGTGTTTGTAAGGCTCCAAGTTTTAGTTTAAGTACGACACATCTTCACCATGGTTTCGTTCGCCTTTGACCCAAAATTTGGCCGCCTTGGTCGGCGGCGTGTGCGCTGGAGCCAGTGGGAAATGAGCTTCGGAAATCCCGTTTTTTGTGATACCAAGGCATGCTTCAAGCAACAAAGTTGCAGTAACGGGTCCTGCCGCCAACCTGAAAGGACAACCCAAATGTACTTGATCAATCTACCGTTGTAGTGCCCCCGTTGTAGTTCCCCCGTGTCCTTGTTTCCGGTAGCCTTTTTGTTGATAAAAAAAGGCCTTCTTTCCCCATGGCCACCGTCTATGCGGCAGAATAGGGTGCCAAAAATGGTAGTGCTCCTTATCGTTTCCCTTGAAGCCAACCCAAGGAAGAAGGGTACCCTCAAAAAGCAGAGGCTACCCTGTCAAAGGCTGGTTCTTGTAGGGAGGCCCAAGGGACACTGCAATTGTTGGGGTAGGTGATTTCCTATGGCCCTTTGAGAATCATACAAAGGAGCCCGGAAGATTTAAGATGTCTGGATTCCCCGAAGGTTTGGGCCAGAATTCGATCTGGTGATATTTGGAGAACCCCCCCTCGCCAAAAAAGCGGTTCGTGGTGTTTTGGAACGGGTTGGTGTTGACTCAGATCGCTGGCCTGAGGCAAGCATGTGCATGGCCTGGGTGAAGGTGGGTACCCTCCAGGTCAAAGGCCCCCAAGTGGCTGGCTCTATGAGGCCGAGCGGGTGGGGCGGCGGCGGGGTGGCCTTTGGTGTTTGTCTTGCTGGTTGTTCTGTTTTTTTTTGTTGTTTTTTTGTGGGTTTGCCTTGTTTCGGCTTTGGGCTGTGTTGGTGGTTTTTCGGGTTTGTGTGTTGTTGTGCTTGTTGCAGTTTGTGTTCGGCTGTTTCGAGGCGTGGTTTCTGGTTTGCTTTGTTGTGCTAACCAAGGGCATGTGGTTTGATGCTGCACCCAATGAGGCTGTGGTAGTGTCTAGGGTGTAAAAAGGAGGCGAACTGTGGCTTGTTTGCATTTGATCATGGAGACGGCGAGACGTTTTCCAGATGGAAACTCTCAGCCCACTTCCAAATTCCTATTGGCAAGTGAGTGGTTGGGGAGGTTTCATATTCGCATTCAAAAGACCTTGAGCTTAGGTGCCAAAGTTTCCCAACAGTGCATTGAAATATCGCTTCTAAAGACTTGTGCAAATCGGGGGTTGCTGATTCCCCTACTAGGATACCTCCCCAGTCAAGCGGGGGATCGTTTCTCAGTGCTATCAAGAGGGGCGCAGGCGTGTCCACTCCAGACTCTGGGTTGCTTGGAACCCTCTCATTCCAAACCTTAGGCGGGGCAGCCGGGGTACCATCCCTTGCTCTGGTCTCATGTGTGTGTTACCGAACGGTTAGGAACTGCCTTTATCATAAACCCGCAAGGACCGCTAGGGGGGGGAACTATATATGGATGAGCCTAGGACAAACCCAGGTAGGCCCCCCTCTCAGTTCGCCTCGCAGGTCCCAACGGGTAGAGTACCGCATGTAGCTTTTCACCTCGACAAACTTGCATTTGTTCCTGCAGTTCAACCAGCAGTCAGCGAACGTAACGGAACTGTTTTTGTGTTGGGACTGCGTTTGCAATGGCTTGATGGGTTTGACCAAGTGCTCTTGGTGATTGCCTCGCTCCAGTGAAGTCGCCTAGACCTTCGTAGCTCGCTTGCAGATCGGGGCCATGCTTGTGATGATAGCAAACCCAGTGGTTGAACCCGCAGTGAATTCTGTCCACCAAAGGGCCTAATGTTGACCCAGGATGAATAAACCCATCCCATTATTAGGGGGGTGTTCCCTCCAAAAGTGATGAGTCCCCACCAAACGGGAACACCCCCCCTATAAATCAACCAGGGGTTCTACTCAGATCCGGGGTTAACATCCAGGTCCAATGGGAGCGCTGCTCGGCTCGTCTTCGCAGCCGCGAGGTTCGTGGCGAACCCCGGGGAGTCCGCGCAGATCACGGTGCAGGGCGTGGGCCTCGCCTGGACCTCGGTAAAATGTTTGCCTTCGCGCCGAGTGGTCGGGCAAGGGCCTTTCATGTCGACCCTCTACTAAAAAAGGAGGTATTTACCGTAAAAACAAAAAAAAGGTTTTCCCTAAAATACCCTGAAAAAGCGGGTATTTGGAGTAGGAGGCAAGTATGCCTCCTCGATCCATGCATTTTGCCAGGTGTGGGTGATGGTAAGAATGTACTGCGCTTATCCTCCCACTAACACCCGCCAGAGAGAATGGCCCCTTCTACAGGAAAATCGTCTTGGACCCCGAAACGTGAGGTGGAGGTAAGCAGGAATCTGGGGAATCCTGTTCAGAGTGCGATACGGATAGGCGAAATCCACTTCATATTTAGGTGTTTTACTCACTTGCCTACAGCCGACCTCTTGACCTTTTGGGTTTTGGTCCATTTTCGTCATAGCCCCAAAAGGTGAATCTGTTTTTTTTGGTTAAATGATTTCTGGGCCCTTTGGGCCACTGAGTTTGTCAACCAGTATTCATAGGGTTGTTCTTTCCCAGGTGCAACATTTCTTGATTTGGTCCAGGCGCGTCAAGCTGTTGGATTTTTTTGGTGCTGTCAAGGTGCCAGATTTGGGGGGGGGGGGGGGGGCGGGGAAGATGCATTTGCACAGCCATACCCGAAACCTTCAAAGGACAGATTGTTGGCTAGAAAGAGTAGTGATTGTGGCTTTAACAACTTTGGTGCATTTTGTCAAGGGATGTTAGGACTTTAACTTTTTGCCAACTGATGGGGTTTCCATTAAACCACTAAAAGTTAAACTTTTAGCAGGGGAGCAGAAAGCAACCAAGACAAGGTCACACCCTTTGGGAACTGCATGGGAACACGATCCGCCAGATCCAACAAATCAGTTGCGGCTCCACAGGCTGCCTCGGCATTCCGAAGGGTCAGTGAATCACCCATGCCAGCCAGCGTTAGTTTTTCTTTGGGGAGGCAAGTCTGTACTTGTCGGCACAGCTTGGCTATGGAGTCGTTGAACTATGTGTTTCTTGCGTTCCTGGACTTGGTTGACATGTTTTGAGAACAATTTTAGTGGCCAAACAACAAGTTTGAACTCTTTTTTGGGCCAATCCATTCAGGAAGAGAGTTGAGCGACGACCGCCAGTGTTCACTTTGCCGGGTGGCGCGAGTTCTTGACGAATGTGTTACCTCGAACGATGAAGGCTATCAATTTCTGGGTGGCAGGGGTCATTGATCGATGTGTTACCCCTGACAAATGCTACCGATGTCAGAAGGTAAGCCCCAGTGCCTCAAACCTATTCGCCTCAGAGTTGCCAGCGTGCTCTACGAAAGTCATCGTGAAATATACATGAGGCTGGATCGTGTGGAAGTACTCGAAACCACCCGGCGACCGAATTGCGGCAGAATCAGCAACCCAGTTTTACATTGCGTCGCCCTTGGGTTGTTCAGTGAACTGTGCAAACCCTCTGACGAACCGAGGTCGCAAGATCATGCTCCTGATTTGTTATTTCTAAGGGAGTCAGGAGAACAGAATGCTTCGTTTCTTGGCATTGGGAGCCTGGGGTCCGTATGTTACGAACATCCCGGGCGATCCCGAAATTGCATCGGTGTGTCAAGGGTAGCAGTTACATTCTCAGGCTTGAATATTCCACTTGTGGTGTTAGGAGCGTAGATGCTTCATGCTACAGCATGAGCCCCTCATGTTACCCGACATGATCAACACATACCCCCGTCCATGCCCAACTGGGGCTTGTGGAGTTTCTCCTGGCCAGGAACTCGAAGAGAAGCCGAGAAAAACATGGTCATGGGCCCGGTTGAAACGAAAGGAACCCAAACCCTATCGAAACCGTAACCCGTAGGAACCAGAGCTCCAAGGCGCGGGTTTTTCCGGAGAGTTGGCGCCGAAATGAAACCAGCTGGCAGGCGACCGAAGACAGGCAGGGAGCTTCGATCGAGATGACTACCTGTTGAGAGCATGGGACAAGCATAGCAGGCATCAAGAAACAAACCTGGCAACTGTTTAAGAGCTCTTGCCCAGTCATAAAATTGCAGGCGTGCACATGACATTTGGCACGTTTCCCCAGACCATTCTGTACGTTTGGCTTGGCACCCTCAACCGAATTCTGGGGCAAGTATGCGTTGTTGCATTATGCTGGTATTGTTTGGTGATAAAAGCATTTGCTTCCTAAACGGGCCACACTCCAGCCGCAATTGCTCCCGTTGTGTGCCTGAAAAGAAATTGCAGTTTGCCCGTGCTTTCCGTTTGGGGGCACGTGGCCACCCAAACAGGGTAGCAACTCTAAAGTAGTAGGGGTAGATTTCCAGAAAGCCACGAAGAATCTGTGGAAAAGCAACATCTTGCATGCTTTCGGCTGCGGCCAGGACCGACTGGACGTTTCAAGCTCCAACAGCGCCTTTGCCATCTCACCATCACGCCCCAATCAAGGGAAACTTGTTTTTTGGGGTCCCTGCTTGTTGGGGGGGCGGCAAGGGGGGGGGGTTGCGAGGGGCGGTAAGGGCCGTAAATCTCCGGGCTCTCCATCCAACCCGTTTTCGGGTCGCGGTGGTTGGGAGTGGGGCAGCAGGGTGGGGTGGGGTGGGAGAGATGATGAGATGCGACGACTAAACCTCGTGTTACTTTCCCTGTTCTTTCTAGGGATCCTTCTTTGCCAAAGATTGCCTCGAACCAAGAAAGGAATGGAGGGAAAGGAGTGGGGGAGCAACCAATGCACAAAACGAGGGCAGCGTACCCCGTGACACGTGCGTCGAGAAGAGTAAGACCTACCCTTTGGTACCAAGCCGGGGACAGCCATGCGGGCCAGGCGATGCTTGGAAGTGGGGTCCTGGTACCTTCCTGCACAAGTGGCTCTGGGTCAGAAAGAGGCACCCATATTGGCTTGCCCTGATAGGTGGCATGGACCAAAACCAGCGGTCCCCGGGTGGTTGAACATTTTGACCCACACCCAAATGGAGAAGGTGCCAGCTTCCCTCGTTGAAAGAAAGGTGCGCAGAGGAGAGCGATTGAATTGCGCCTCCGTGGCAGCTGGAGGAAGCTTTGGTACTCTGTTTGATTGACTGCAACAGCAATTCAGTCTGTGGAACATGGTTAGATCGCCAGGCCACCAGGTTTTACATGTTGCAGTGGATCCAACAAGGTACCTTCCTTCGCTCTAAAAAAGCCTGAGAGTTGCCAGTCGAGGCATGTTGAGGGGTCTCATTCGTAAGTCTTCAGGTATGGGGACTGATTAGGTTCTTGTTGGTCCCTCCCGGTCCCTCCCCCCAATAGAGCAAAGAGACCCAGAACAATAGTACAATAGCGATCTAAGAAACTACGCCCATAGGACTCAGACAATGACTCGATCTTTCCCTCTGTGGCTTCCTATTGTACCTTGCAAGCAGATTGGGTACAACAAAGGCGTGTAAAGCAGATCCCCTTGCCTGATCGTTTTTTTTCTTATTTTTGTTGCGGGGGCCTCCTAGCCAGCAGGAGGGTGCCACACACAAACAGAACATGCTTATTCAACAGAACACGTGCCCAAGGCTCGGACATTGGAGACTTGGGTGGAATCTAGCTGGATCTCTCAGTTGGAGAGTTGTGACCATGGCACACATAAATAGCCGTTTGGCGGTTTGGAGGTGTTCTGAGGGCCGGTTTCCTATGAACCCATGAACCCCCCGCAGTTCCCAAATCCCCAAACCACAAACCCAAACACCTCCAAACCACCAATCCAAGCGGTTTCCCATTGAGCCTCGATGGTTTCAATTCCCTAAGCAGCCAACCGAAACAAGCCAAGCAATCCAAGCCGCCAATCTAAGCACCAAACCACCAATCAAAGGTTTTTTTGAGTTTTTCATGCGCTCGGCCCAACAGACGAACAATCAGATGTTCTATTTTGCCAGGCTCCGCATCATCCCGCAGACCGTGGGCTGTATGGCGGTTCAGGAGGCTCCTTCAACACTGGGATTTGCTTGGGTGCCCTCCCTTTTCCCTTTTTTTGCCGGATGTACCAACTTATGTACACGGGTTTGCGTCAAAATGGGGAACCCCACCAAATAGGATAAATAAATGTGTTTTCCCCCTGGCTCTTCTTTTTGAACCAAGCTAACAATCTTACCCTCAAACAACGCACACACACACAAACACACCCATGTACAAACTCGGCGTTTGAACCTGTTTGACCATTTGCTTGTCCCAGTTTGATCCAGATTTGGAAGCCTGGAACGTGTTCCCCCCTTTTTTATCACTTTCTTTGTGAAAGCGACACCTCTGAGAAGTACCGAAGATGCCTCACGCACACACACACACACACACACACACACACACACACACACACACACACACACACACACACACACACACACACACACACACACACACACACACACACACACACACACACACACACACACACACACACACACACACACACACACACACACACACACACACACACACACACACACACACACACACACACACACACACACTCATGTTTGCTTGAATGGGCCCGTTTTTTGCATAGGTTACGCCACATGGGAGGCATGGATGTCGACCAGATCTGACCTTTCGCCCCCCACGAATCCGGCCAAGTGTCCAACACAATTAGGGAGCCCTTGTCGAAGCTGTTCCAGACCCGACCCATTTGTCGGAAGCTTTTGAAGGGGAACACTCTTACTACAGGAAAGGCCCTGTGTTCAAAGGGAGATATTTGAACGGTTCCTTTTTTGTGAGCACGCCATATTCTATTCATGTCCTAAAAGGTGCTCAATCTGTCCAATGTACTTCCAAGTCCTTAGGATTCAAGTGAGTTACATCTGCCATAGGCAAACATGCTCGCCTAGGTATACAGCAAATGAAGATCAGTGTTGCCAAGCTTTTTCGCAACGCCCTGGTGTTGCTTTTCCACGGATCCCATGCAGCCACTTGGGTTTCTGAGGTTCCCGACTTGCGGCTGGAGGTTTGGGGTCCCCAATTAGACTTTGGGAGGCCTCCATCGGAGATTCCCCAAGTGCTGGGCTCCATGTTGATCGGAAGGAGTGAAAAGTGAGGACATTTTATAACGCCACACTTAGCCTCGCCTCGAAAAGGGAAGGTTTGGCTGGGTAGGAAAAAGTGGGGCAGCCCCTGCTCCAAATACCCACTGTTTTAAGGGTATATTTTGAACAACCTGGGTTTCCATGGTAAAAACCCTTCTCTTCGTACAGGGTCGACATGATACCCTGAAAAAAGCCGGGTATTGGGTGTACGGGGTATGCCGAATGCCGTTGGGTAGCCTCAGGGTCAGCTGGCATCCGGGTGCGAAGCCCTTGGGGTTTTCCGGTCACCGAGAGCCAGAGCTAGGCTTCCACCACCATGGCTGCCGCCACCACGCGGCGGCCTAGGAGAGCAACCTCACCCGGCCAGTGATGTCTGAGCCTAGTCTAGGTCCCCCAGTAGTGCCCTTTTACCGTTTCTTTTTTGGGGGAGGGTTCCCCTACTGAAACAGACTACAGAAAAGGGTGCCCTTATTCTAACCTGTCTAATCGAGGACCTAGTAGCAGAAAATGCAGGACCCTACTGGGGGTTTGCCATGTTTGAGTGGGAACCTAACATGGCTAAACTGGGTGAAGAGATCTGAGCTGGCAGCCTCAACTGTTTCAACATGCCGATAAGAGGGCTTCTTAAAAGATACATTTTGCCCATATGAAACATGGCTTTTTCCACCGAAATAAGGGGACACCGCCATTTACAAGGCAATGTTCAGGTGTATAATGTAAGGATCCCTGTTTCGCTTGGTTGCTTTGCTAAGCAACGCGCATCCTTTCCCGCCACATAAAAGCTGCGTCCCTGGAGGTCACTCCAGAGGTTTTTGACTCGGCGAGCTTGCCAGCCTTGAAATTGGGATGCTTCGAGTCGACGTTGCAGCTTCTTAACATAGGCAAGGTGTCCTTGCAGAAGGGGGTGGTTGCAACATCTTGTGATCTTGTGTCACAACAAGGAATTGACCCTCTGACTTTCACCATTTGCATGAGACTTGCATTGTTATGGGGGGTTGAGGATCCTTTACCCCATACTGTGTTTTATGTCAATTGGTATCCATGTTGGCCAACTACGGTGGCCTTGCAATTGTTTTGATTTGCGACCTCGCGCCCCATGATCTTCCAGCTTGATTGTTGCTTGATTCTCCCAGCACCCGGGTAGATGATGAAGGTTAGTAAGGGCAGTCCCAGCTTAAATAGGTGCAACCATTTGGGTAGACCATTTTACTACCAGCGTTTGATTGTGACTCACTCGGCCAAGGGCCTCCTCTTTTTCTTTACCATTGTTCTGCTTGCCCTTCTGAGGCCGATCTCTCCCAGCTCCCCAAATGGTGGTGGGGTTCTTCTTGCTTTTCCATTGACACCATCCCAAGCAGGGCATTCTGACCCATTGACAAACCGATGTTCATACCCTGGCTGCACGTGTTCTGTGCATTGGCCGAGGTCCGCTCGCCGTCTGCAGGCGTGATGTTGCGTGCCTGCGGATCGTTTTGTTGCTCGATAGGGAGGTTATGAAGCCAGATCCCCGGGAGATCTTCCGAATCAGTGCCTTCGACTTAAGGGCCTCGTTTTCAGAGATGTTGGTGTTGTTTGGAAGTTATACACAGGTCCTGGGGATTTCGTGGGAGGTCAGAAGCTTGTCAATTCTCAGTCCCGAAAGTTGTTTTTGTTGTCTTTTTCTGGCTCTTGCTCTTCCCCCGCTTTTTGTTCGGCCGTAAGCAAGTTACAGCCGAATCGAGCAAGAACTCGCTTTCGCCGTTTGCCTTTGCAGACGATGCCATGATTTTCCGTAAGCCAAGAGGTTTTGATGGCAACTTGTGGAACCCAGGCCTCGGGCTCCCCACAGTTTTCTCGTGCTCCGAAAGCGACAGGGACACTTTTGCTTGGTACAGGTTCCTTCAGAAGTTACCTGGAGTCTCCATGACCCTTCCAAAATGGTTTCATGACCCTATTATTTTGGGTAACGCCCCCATTTTTTAAGGGTCATGGAGATTCCAGGTACAAGTTTTCTAGTTGCGAGTTTTGTACACTTAGCTTTGTCGGGTGTTTTGCCGAACTGCTGCGGAAGATGGTGCCAGCCGAGTTCTTCCACAAATGACGGCCGACTAGCCGCCCAGAAAATTACGGCCGTCTCCTCCAAGATGCGCTTGAAGCCCAGCAAGCCTGCAGAATCGCTGCCAACCCATTGAGAATCTCCAAAATGGCGGTCAACTCCACGGTGATTTACATTTCGCCCTTCACAACCAGAAATGCTTGCGTTTTTTACTCCGAGGAAGCAACTTCTGCGCTAACATGCGACAACAGACGTGTTGGTTGGGCAGTGACCTGAACATGTTGTTCTTGCTTCGGGCTTCTAAATTGGCAACGTTTGCCACGAACAAATCAGCATCACTGCGTTGGACATTACGACATGTTACGACCGCACCTTCGAGAATTGCGTCCGTCCTAGTACTACACATTCCGGCCAAGGGCAAAACATGTGTTTGTGAACCACCCAAACAAGCAGCTCCTTGAGGTACCGGGTTATGAAGTGAATGATGTTCATGTTCAACTTTGCAGTGAGTTGTATACGAAGGGAGGTTTTAGTAGACCTGATTGTGTCACTTCTCTGGTTTGGGCGAATGGTGGCCACCCACAGTGGCTTGATTGCGACTTCACGATATTTGTTGCGCAGTCAAGTTCATTTCCTGCGGGTCCCTTAGAATTAGGTTGAACCATGGAGACTACCTTCCGTTCAAAAGGAACATTGACTTCCAGTACCCCCCGCCTGTCGGAAAGAATCATAATATTGACACTTGAGCACTTCACTGATGGATTTGATTCACTAAGATTCATCATCACATTTAGGTATGTATCAGAGTAGGGTTGCCCTCCCCCCCAAAGAAAAAAACAAAGAAGCGAACAAACACAAACACAACTTGTTTGGTTGCCATCCTGCAGCAAGCAATCGCCACCAAACCTCTATTCATCACCCAAAGAAAGCAAGTCTCTTTGGCCCCAATTACGGCCAAACAAAAAACGGGCACCGAGCCTCGAAGAAGCGGCCCCCAGTTTTGGCATCAGATGTGACGCAGACTCTGCCAGTTCACCAGCGTCTTCGACTTCCGGTCTGGGGCGGCCGCGGCGCGCCGGGCTCGGGAAAGAGGAAGCCCAGGGACACCGCTGCGAGACGCGTCAAGAGGTATAGACGAAATATGACGAACTATTCATCAGAATCGTTATATATATATATATATTGATTAAGTGTACTGGAGAGTTGGGCCAATGTTTGAGGGAGAGACTGGGAGGACAACCCAAAGATCCGCCGAACTTTGGATGAAACATGTCACATCTGCACTTTGGGTTGCCTGGGCAGACGACTTCAGCTCTATGCATTGCACACGGTGTGTGTTTCTCCTCAGGGGCGTTTTTTCAAGAGGTCGCAGGTTGAACAAGAAAATCAGGGGTCATGGGGCTTTCAAGCGGCTTGCAGCCAGCCCCTCATGAGGGTGCCCTCTTGGCTGAGTGCCAAGTCTCAATAGCGAGCCGCCAAAATGGTGATATTCCCTTTGGTGTCCCCACAAAACACCCTCACATTGGAACAGAAAGACGGTCCCACTGAGATGTTTTCGTTGGCCAGTACCAAAGCGAATGATTCGACCGGATCTGACCTTGCCGTGGCCACCATTCTTGGTCATGGATGTCCCAGGACATGACTATCTGTTTTTTTTTTGGGGGGGTCGCACCCGGAACATTGCGCCTTTGCAACCAGCAAGTCATGCCACCTCTAGGGGTAACTTCCCCATTCCAGGGATCCTTCGTTCTAGAAAACCCCCAAACACCCTGGGGCAATGGCGATCGGTTTTTGAGAAAAACGATGGCTGAAAAGAATGGAAAGGAATCAACCCCTAGAATCACCGCATGCGGGAATCACGCCGAACCAAGAAAAACTCGGCCGAGCTGCGGCTTTTTTGGGTTTCCTTCACTTGTCCTTTGCAACCAGCATGTCATGCCACCGACCCCGCTGCATGGAAGCAGCCGAACCAAAACTCGGCCGAGGAACGGCACGGAGGCCTCCTGGGAGATTCTCATCAGCGTGGAGGGCACCTACAACGCCCGGGCGCCCACGCGACGTGGGCCCCACGCGACGTGGGCCCCAAACCGGTGGGGTGGATGGGTTTGGTGGTGTTCGGGGGTGGGGGGCTTTCCCAGAAAATCCCTCTACAGCAGACAGGGGTGCGTGGTTCTGGGACGGGAAGTTCTGTTGGGCCAGCCAGAAAAACACACATGCTCGGATTTAGAGGAACCAGTGGGAAAGCAGGTGGTTTTTCGATGTGTCCTTTGACGAACTCTGTGACTCACGATTGTTTCTCGATGAAGAGAACTTCGGGAAGCCTGGAAGTACCTCTGAGCAAGCATGATCCGCCCGAGAAAGCCCCCATGAAAAAAAACGACATTAGATATTTGTCCCAATTTTATGGCCGGCATGGGTTTAGGATGGTTTAGGTCGATTGCCTTGACCAACATGAAACCTGGGGGAACGCACTTGGGCACCAGGTTCCTTTTAGGCCATCTGCTCAAAGGCGTTGAGGGGCCACATGGGACGAAGAACCAACCGGTTAGAGCACTTACGGGCGATGCCTGGAAAGAGATTTTGGGCCTACCCTTGGTTTACAAACGGGTTGCACTCTTTTTTTGGGGGTTTGAAGCAGAAATGCCCCAAAAACAGAGTGCTGCCCTTTGTCTTTCTCTTTTGAGGGGTTTCTTCGTTTGAAGTTCCCTGCGTTTTGGGGGGGCTTTCCCATTTGGTCCTTTTTGCGCTCCGAATTTTGGGTTTGAACGCCCGAGCCCTTGGGAGTCCCAGGTCTGTTGGTGCGGAGGCCTGGAGAACAGTTGCACCGCGCCCGGAAGCCCAGCGCAACCGGGACGAGAGGCTGGTGCACTCGGCTTGGTGAGGTTTGTTCCCTAAAGGGTCCCTTACCCTTTAGGGTCTACCAGGGTCCTTAAGTTTAGTACCAACAGAGACGGCTTTGCTGACTTTCCATGATGGAGCAGACGTTGAGGAATCCAAGGTTTAGGTATTAGGGTGTCGAATGTTGGCGGCTTGAAGTTGCGGTTAGTTGGGCGGTTCTCAAAATTAGTTTCCTTGGGCTAATTGCAGACGTAGATTTCAGGGACCCTTGGCCGGATTTGTGGATTCAAGAATGGGTCGAAACAGTCCAGGGGAATTCCTGAAAAGGGAAGTGAGTGCCGCTTGATGGGTTGCACGCTCCCCTTGGGTTTCAACAGCTTAACTGCCCGGCGCAATCAACAGATCTGACCTGAGTTTCCCATGTCCAAAGGGGTCAACCCGTTGGCCAAACCCTTTTTGGGGGGATTTACTCGCCAGACGAACCAGAACCCCCAAAACCATCATCTCTAGTCTCTAGCTGACTCATTGGGTTCCAGTCGAGCTCAAATCTCCAGGTCGCCCGCGTGGCAAGGGGGTTTGAGTTTTCATGGTTCGTGGGCTATTGCTTTTTGGGACCAGGTGCAGGGGGTCTCCAAGTCTTCACAGCGTTTCGTCCGTCCCAACTCGTGCAAAATGGATTTTGTCCGTCCAATGGTGTGAGTTCCAAAAGCTGAGCGCTCTGTTTTTTTTTTTTTGGGGGGGGGGATATTTTTTTTGTTCCTGCACATTGAAAACTTCACGGTTCCAGCTGAATAGCGCATTGTTATGTGCTGCCATTGTCCTGATTGAAAGTCCTGGTGGGAGGGTAGCTTTTTCGTTTATGATTGGAGCAAAGACGATGAAGGTTGCTGCTATCCTCGAAATGTCCATGTTTGCGAATGGCAAAATTTGTGCAGATACCCTTCCTCCCACTAACATCTCACCATTTTACAGTCAGGTGCCATGGCAATATGGGGGGACAACAGTTTCAGGAGGCCCCTGTACCCTCCTTTCGCCCAGAGCCCCCCTGCCAAAAGGCCAATGTTTATTTGACCAAAAAGGGACATGGGGAAACCAACAGCCTGTTTAATGTCCATGCCAACAAACCGCAGTAGGTCTGGATGTAGGTACGTCTTTTGTTAGGGCACCCCCGAAAATTGTGGTTTTCCCTTTGGTGTTGCTTTAACTTTAACACCACGCAAACAAGGGCTACCCCGAAAGGAAGACACACCCATGTGTTCTACAAAACTCACAGGGACATCGGAGAAGAAAATTGATACAATAACAACAGCCTATATGTCCAAGCCAAACCATAGACCTCGATGTATTATTTACATATACCATAGCTCTGGATGTCTCATTGTTACTTTTGTTCTGTCGAGGTTTGGGGTTGACATAGCCTTAAAAATCTGTCGGCTGGCAGCTGCCAAAGCTACTCTTTTTTTTAAACCATAGGTCTGGATGCATTATTAACATATGGCTGTGGCTCAAAAAACCGGTACCAAAATGGAACCCTGGTAAGTGGAAACTTGGACCAACACCTGCGTAACCCCTCCTGTTTAATATGAGCCACGCCCATATGCCAAACAAACCGACGTGATTTTTTCGCGCCGAGGTGCCTGGCCAAAACCCAAAAACCCAAACAGCTTGCCGACGAGTTGTCCGAGGCCCGACGAGTTCCAAGTGCCGCTGGGCACTCTGCAGGTGGCCCAGAAGCGCGACTGCCAGGCGCGGCCACGCGCGGCCACGCGGCGTTTTCACCCGCGCGGAAGCGGCACGTGGGACCAGAGGCCGTCCCGAGTTCCTGGGCTTTTGGTTCGCTTGGGAAGACCATGTTAGTGGCCAACAGTTCAGACTTGTTTTGTTTGCCAAGCCACTCAGGAAGTGAGAAGTAGAACCTGGGGTTCAGGGTCAGGTTTGTTTTGGCGCGCCGAAGGATAGTTTGGGCCAGCCAAGAAATCTAGCCAAATACCAGCTGATTTAAGGGAGCCCCGTTATAAAGCAGGGGGGATTGGACGCAAGTTCAGGAATCATTTTAGGCCCCAAAAGTGAGGGGTTCCCTCTTGAACTTGCTATCAAGCAACCAGAAGTGTATTCCCCTGGATTCTGTGATTGTTGCACTTCCTCAAGGGTAGAACTTATTGTCCTGTGTCTACTTTGCGAAGCCAAACCTGGATCACGATATAGCGTCTCGAGGGAATTGCCAGGTCTCGTAACAAGCCAAACTGTTTCTGGACAACTTGGAAAGCAACATAATTGATCTTACCCAAAATTCCTTTCTTTTCAATTTGAGGATTATAGTACTTTGCACCGGTCCACCTGTGCGGGAACCCTCCTCAAAGCATACTTAAACATCTTAAACCCACTGGAACAGGGTTTCAGTCAGCTGCATGTCGTGTTTTGGACTGGTAAAGTGCCCAGATGATTTCTGAGGTTGGCGAGGGTTGTTTCTCAGAATCCGTGTGGTACTGTTTGTGTGTGTGTGTGCATCTCTCTCTCCTCTCTCCCTCTCTCTGTTTGTGTGTCTGCGTATATGTGTGTGTGTGGGTGTGTGTAAAGGGTTGCCATATCATGTGTTGACACATTTCCACGTTTGTCCATGCTGGGAATACGTTTGAAGGGGTCACGCACGCTGGTCTTCTGATGGCCCCAGCCGCGGAAATTGCGCCGCGGATATCGCGATATCAGGCCCTCCGTGCCTTGGCGATTGGCCGTGGGCGTGTCATGGGGGGTGGCTTAGGGAAACCCAAAGGAACCCATCTACGAGTCTCCAGTTTTGAGAAGCATCACTATTGGTTTGGGAATATGGTAAAGCTTGCAGAGCGGTGCCTGGGTGAAGGCTTTGTGTTGGTTCGGTTGCTTTCTGCTTTACCACAGTTGCACCCGTTGTCTCTCCTTGTTTAGGTGCTCCCGAGTTCGGTTGGCCGCGAAAATGGTTCTCTAACCACAGCGCTCAAGCCTTGCTCCTACCGTCAGTCAGGTTCCATGTTGAACCGGAAGGCAAGTCAGTTGTGAGCCGTTCCAGCGTATTCAAGTCTTGGGGTTTCCTTTTTGCGGGAATGACTCGCTGAATGAGCAAAACCCCCTACTCAAAATACCCGCTTTTTTCGATACCCTGAAAAAATCCAGGTATTTGGAGTAGGGGGAATACTTCAGTTTGCACTGTGGACGGATGAAACCCTATGAGTGCGGGGCTGAGCCACCCAACAACTGCTGTAGAAGTTTGTCCACGAACAGTGTTTTGGGGGATACTCTCTGGGATCTAAGGAGGGAGCCCCCCAAATTTTGAAGTACTAGATCCCTCCTTTTAAGGCAGGTCAAGGCCAAAACAGGCCAAATCGGTTGGGCTCTTTGCAGTACGGGGGCTTATCAGAGTTTCGTGTTTCTCAAAATTAGGTTCTGGTTCATTTCCCTTTCAACCGTCTAAAAGGGTGTATGTCTGTTTTTGAGGGTGCCCATTTTGGGGTTGGTCCTGGGGAGCCAACAGAAGAGGGGGGCCTATTTTGACACATACCCATTTGGCTCGCGTGCCGAGGTAGAAATGCGCCCATGCTTCCTATCGTCTTGCTGCTGAGCCATGCCCTCATAGGACCGTCCGGGAAGGCCGAATGTTCCGAAAGAAACTCTTGGCTGGATTTATATGGCGAGAAGGTACTGGGACTGACATTTGAAATGGAACCCAACCCATGGTTTGTAGAGGAATCCTACGCGCAGTTTGTGCGTGCTGGCGCTGGCTGGCCTTGTGTCACCGAGCTCGCTTGGTCAGTGGCGCCTTTTGGGTTTGTTCCCCACTGGGAAAACTCGCCAACATCGGGGTTCTTGTTGCTGGGAGCGTATTTCCTAATGTGGCTGTTTACGTGCTTTGTTTTTTGAGAAACCAACAGGAGGCCAATAATTTTGCCTCCCCCCTTGACACATTTTGACACGCATCCAATATCAACACCAAAAAGGTGAAAGGGGAGCAGCGGGGCAAGTGGGCAAGGACATGGGTCAGCACTGGTTCTTGTCAGGAGCAGCTGTAGAGGCCCCACGCCTGGTCCGGCGGCAAATCAGCAACCAGACAACCACACTCGAGTGCCGGGGGGAGGAGGAACAGAACTTCTCTCAGCTGGAAATGCGGCGTGTGTTCTCACTGATGCCAACTCCAGACTGCCCTGACAGTGAAGGCTCCCTTATCAATCAACGAGGTTCCCAGCACATCCGAGGGTTTAACGATGTCTAACCCCAAGTTTTAATGCCATCTCACGCAGCCCTGCTCGCATGAGCTGGTCAACAAATCGCAAGGAGCAAGTCTGACAATTTTACTTCAAAATGGGAACAACTGGTTTTGGCATGTTTGCCTTGGGATTTGGCGGAGACGCAAAAGGAGTGGTACGAGGTTCGCTATGCACTGCGGGAGTTTGTTTGCGCTGGAAGATTGTGAAGAGGTATTCAGAAAGTGCACGTTCAATTAGCGAACTGCTCGTGGCAAGGGTGCTGTGAGTTGCCCAAATCATATCGACATTTTGACCCTTCTGTTTGCTCAACTTTGGCCTATTTCAAGTGGTCACACGAAAGGATGCGAAAGGTTAAGGTTCGGTGGGGGCGACTTGCTTTCCCTTTGTGATCCAGTTGCTTCCCTACTGAAACCACACATTTTGAGTGTTGGGTGTCAAAATGCTGGCACCCCCACACATATCGCCAGTTGTCCATGTTTGTCTTCTCAGGTGTGTGTTTAGGGGTGCGACATGTTTGGGCAGACCACCCGCAGGTCCAACAGTTTTCTGCGGGATTGGGGGGGGTGCCCAGAGGTGTGTAACGCCGACCTTTCCGCTTCGACCCAGGCAGCTTGGCAGAGGTGCTACCCGCGCGACCTGGATCAGTTGGCGAGCGCATCCCCCCAAAAGGTTTGAACACTTTGTGCCACAGATGGTTGGGCTTGGACCATTTTAGAGACAAACAAGAGTTCAGAACTTCAAAGAGTTTTTTGCCAATCCACCTGGGAAGTGAGGGCTTGTTCGCCGAAATCGAGCCGAGGCCATCTGCAAGCAAGTCGGTGCAATGCAAAGAGCGGCTGGAGTCGAGTTATGAGTGCAAGGCGGGCTATTGACAAAGGGAATCAAACAGAAGGTGCCCAAACGAACTCCCCATGTGCGGTTTTCCAGCAACCTGTCTATTTGGGGGTGACACGGGGAGACTCACTAAATGTTTGATGTCCTTTTGGGGGGCACAAATGCTGACATCACATATTCTCCAGGGACTTGTCATCCAAGGGTTTTGGAGGTATGGAGATTATATGTTGCTTATGTGAGGTTCAGAGAATACGGCCTTTCCAACTTCTATTGGTGGTAGATTAGCCTCCATGCCTCCTTGAAATGCCCTGATACTTGTACAAGGTGTCACATTTGTAGAGAGAAACGGTCAGGCAAGGTGGCGATTATTTGGTGAATTGCCAACTCACAGGCACCACATTTTCTCACTACCTAATTTCCGATGTTTGGTAACTTTTTAGGAAGACCAGTTGTGTGGTAAACAGCAAGTGGCCAAGCAAATGCACTCGGGAATTGACATTTGGCAAGGGACCATTTCAGTGGTTGTTACTCAGCATGTGTGTCATTCGCGCCTGCTGTGGGTGGGGCCATGGTCCAAGCTGCGAACCTTAAGCATCCAGTTGCTCTGCGTATTCGTTGAGTGGGAACAACGAAAGCGCAAGGGTACCAGACAAAGGCTGCAGCTTGCTTAGGGTGAATCTTTCAACCTTGTGTTGGGTCCATACGTTCTTCCCTCGAACCCTGAACTGTGTTTGTGAAACAAGGTATGTTTCTCTTGCAGAACCTTTGCACGTTGGTGTCACTGCGGGGGGCATTCCTCATCACAACTCTGACCTTGAATGACAAACGCCCCAGTTGTAACCTGCTTGCCTTGGCTTGGGTCGCGCCAATCAGAACAGCCCTCGTTTTGGAAGACCATTTTAGGGGTAGTCTAAAGATCCTTCACTGTTTGTGGTCCGGCATGCAAATAACCCTCACATTACTTACTGTGGATCGACGAAAACCGTTCGCACCACCTAACAAACCCTGGAATGATGATTCCCCTCTAAATACCAACGAACAATGTTTCTGAAAGTGGTGCAGGATGTTATCCATCCACAGTGTGAAGGTATACCCTAATCAACTTCAGAGCTCCCGATTCCATGTATGCTATCGATGGCGCATGCTAATGAATGACTGCATTTCCAATAAGGCCAAAAACGCGATTGGCAATACGGCCCGTTCTTTTGGGTTCCTTTTCTCGCTTGCCCAAGGCAACCTTTTGACCATTTGATTTCCGCCCTGCTTGGTCCATTTTAAGTCATGGCCCCAAAAGGTTAACCTTTTCCTTCTGGCTACTTTGGGCAATTCTGGGTCCTTTGGGCAACCGAGTTTGAGGTGCTCTTTCGTTTGTTTTTGGGGTGGGTGGGTCCCTTCTTGGGCACATTTGTTGCAGCCAACCTGAGCCTCCCCCTTTGCGAGGGCACCCGCGGCTATGACCAATCCTGCATCTTCCACTGTGCCTACCTGACGCCCGCGGAGGATGGATGGGCCACTGTGGCCGCAAATCGAAGATCAACCAAGCCTTGTGAATCACCTGCCAGCATTCCACTTGTCCAAAGCTGAAATACGGGACAAGCAATACAGACCTACATGAGAAGTTCTGAAATTGCGGAAAATGGTGCCAGCTTTTCAATGTGGATGTGGGTCAAAACCAGT